TCATCGAACTTGAAATAAAACGAATCCCTAGAAACAAAGTCTTTGTTAGTAGGTTGAAAGATGATTTATTCTTGCTGAAAAACTGGTAAAATGAAGAAAAAACAAAGAGATTCAAAGAAAGCAACTGAACGTGTCCTTTTTAATGTAATCTAAGAAATTAAGTGGCATGTTCCAGTAATTTATTCATTTATAGTCCATCACTTAATTGTTGTTACCACAGATTCACGTTAAAAGTTCAGTGACAACTTTTAATTCGTCTATTTAATTCTAAATTCTTTTAACTGGTTCTTAGGTGTAGTAGCTTGCTTCGGTTTGACTAAAACAACATGATACAATCTTAATTTCTAAGATCATTTTCTCACTTTCATAGAAATTAGCTCGTTTGTACACCTCCCATACAAGTTGATTTTTGCATTTACTTTTTCGCCATTATACTAAAACAAATCATCAGACCAAATCAAATTTCGCTCATATTTTAAAACCTATAAAAAGAAAATTTCATTCCAAAATATAAACAGCTTCCATTGTCATCGAAAGCTTTTATTTTCTTGTTATGCAGATAATGCATAATTTTATAACATTACTAATCTGTTCACTTTTAATCATATGCGGATTATGTGGAACTCCACCGCCTACTGATATAGTGAGTTTGCCTTTAATTGCACAGTTAGTTAATTATTGTATTAGAAATACATGGTACCAGGCCAGCCTATATCTGACAGTAAACGTCAAGCTTTCAATAATCAAATGAACTTTATCGTTCATTATGCAGCTAATCTTCAACAGTCTTCCAATTTCGAAGGTTTTAAAGTAAGTTTTTCAAAGTTACCTTATTCTTGATAATTGATAATAATTCTATGGACTAGTGACAGCTGATGCCTTACGTGTAACCATGGTAACTGTCTACTTTGTAGGTGTCATGTCAACTATAGACGAAGTGACACCATTTCAGTGGTGCGGTGACATGCAAGCTTTTTGTTAACATTGATGTCGAATATTCGGTGTCAGTTGGTCAATTTATATATTTATTTATTTTTTTATTTTATTTTTGATTACAGCTTGATTCCACACTGTATTTTTGGTACAGGTATGGAATTTTCAGCATGGATATCGGTAGCCCAAATTTAACAGGCCGACCATAAGTATTAGGTGTGCGTCGGCAGGAGATCGAACCTCGGACCATGTGCATGGTCGGCGAGAGTCCTAACCACTGTGCCACCGATGCACATATATATAAAAACCAGACTGGTAGGAATAAGGCGCTTGAACAAAATTAGTGTGAAAGTTTCTAAATATGACACTCAATGATAGCAGCCTAAGAACCGATGGAAAGTTAACTTTTCTTCATGGCTTTACTTGATTCAGTAAAGAATTAATATGGTGTAAAATGTTTGCTGCAGTTGGGTGGTTCAGCAATAGAATGCTTGCCTACCATGAACTTGGTCGAGGATTCGATTCCCAGCAGACGTACACCTTTACTCCACGTAGCCGGTTGTAAGCCCAACAAAGAAAGAAGGTTGGGCGCGAGACAATCAATTCCGCCCCATAAAAAGTAAAACTGCTGCTACTGTTTCGTCAAAGCTCAAGCTTGAAGCTCTGTGTTACACTTGGAACGCAAACCAATAAAAAAAATAATAAAAATAAAAAGTCCACTAACAGAAATAACTAGTGCACAGCTGTTGAATTCTATGAATTCATCTGTACCTTAAACTCATTAAGAAGGTTTGCCTGTTATCAGTCGACATAAACATATCCATTGAACTATAAATACCTGTATCATACAAGATACTCATTAAATATTTTCGTTCGTTGTATCAAACACTAGGGACACTGATTATCTTAACGTTATGGTACTTCAAGGGATCGTATTAGCCTAGATTTTCACTCGCTCAGGTGTTCATTATAAAAGTTTCAGAATATAGATTCACCATAAGGCATTAATTTTAATCTGAAAAATGACAGTATTTAATAATTTGTTAGGAACAAGAGCGCTGACTTTAGATCAGTTCCTCCCACTGACATATCAGGCGAAAATATGGCATATAACTTCCTTAAGTGAATGTCATGATAGAGGTCGTTATCTATTCAGGAACTCATATATCAAAATAAGACTGATCTATGTCGGTTAAATATATTCACGAGAGATTACAAATATGAATATGTAACGTGAATATGTGCGTAGGTGGCACAGAGGTTAAGACTCCCGCCGACCATGCACATGGTCCGGGGTTCAATCAATCCCCTGCCAACGCATACCTGATATTAATGGTTGGCCTGTAAATTTTGGGCTACCGATATCATATGCTGAAAGTTCCATACTTATACCAAATATACAGTTGTAACAACAGAAGACAAGGGCCAGTCAACAGATCGTTTATTAAGGAAATCAACACATATTTATAGATTTCAATGTACATTATTATAGATTATTGTTAGCGGAAAAACACAGTCCTCTGATTGGTTGTTGCTCACAGAAAGTTAATCTTGCATCTCTTTGTGGTTGTTTCTTGAATGTCAGATCATCTATGTGCCAACTGTATCCGCCTGCGCAAAGTCTTTGTTCCTATTTTTCTCACCACCAATATTTGGAGCATAAACCTTGACGTAAATTAATGTCTAACAACTTTGGCTAGCAGCCAGCTCTCATCACGTGGTGTGGAATCAGGCTATAATAAAAAAACTTCAAACCATTAAAATTGAACAAGAGGTGGTTTTTGTGGCCTAGGGACCTAGCACATGATGGTTTGATGTATGAACTGATTGGTACTGAGTTTCAACTGCCAATAGGAACACCGTCGTTCACTGGAAAGACAAATACATTGACCTGGCTATTCCTTAATAAGATGAATCGCATGTCCTGGACTCTGTCATCAGCCTAGTGATTTCATTATTTGTTTTTAATAGAATTTTGACTTTCCCGTTGATTAATTTAACTGAAATGGTTAGTTTCTTTCGATATATCCATTGCTAGTATGGAAACTAAGAAGATTTGTGAAAATCCACTTGAAGCAATTTGGTGAACGGTAACTAGCAAACCATACAAATACTAAATGACGCCATTTACAAAGCAGGTGGCTCCCATGGCCTAAACAGTCTACTGGATAACGCTTTGTCTTTTAAAACGACGTTTACAGGGGTCGAGTCACAACGGGGACATCATCACTCATTGGGAGAAACGCAGATACATACTAGATAGGAGGAAATACACATCCCGGATTCCGCTGTTAGCCACCATTTACCGAATCACTTCTAGCAAATTCATTTTAAAATTACTTAATAATTATGAGACAAGAAAGTGGGAGCAATTTCAAGAACTTACTCACCATGTTTCAAAAGCGCAGACGAGAACAAGTTAGTTTAATGCAGAATAACTCAATTAAACTTATTTTACATGGACAAAAATAACTTATAATTTGAAACATTTCAAAGTATGTTTCACTATGAAGTATAGTACATGAACACAAAAGTAAACCCTAGATTTAATGGCGAAATGTTTTAGGACTGTTATAAGGAATGCGAATTACTTGAAAAAGTTGATTATTTCGGTAAAACAAACACCTGTTGTCAATAAAACATGATGAAGTCAGTAGCTGATGTATGTTTACACCATATCAAAGAAGCACCCGGTGAATTTTACTCCACATTGTGTAATAGATGAAGAGCAGGAAATTATTGATGCCTCATAAACAACATTACACACTAATCAAAGTGCGATATATGACTTTTTTGGTTTTTATAAAGATTAGATAAATAGTTGAGTTGAATTCGATATTACTGAAATAGAATTGATTTATTGCTATTAACCCACTTGTCGTTTATTTCACTAAACTGAGGATCTCCGTTCTCCTTGCCATTTTCAGATGAATGATTACCGGAAACACATAACTCTTTCACATTTAAAAGTGATATAATTTTTAAAATTACGATGAAATAACCCCCCCCCATTGGATGTAAATTTATAGTTTGGGAGGTTTGATATAGAACAGAGGAAATCAGCAAAACACACTAACCTAATACTTCCGCAATGCCTGAGGACCACATTTATTTTGAAGAATTAAAGGTCAATCGATAAAGTATTTAAGAATATGAAGAATAATAACTAACACTACTTTTAGTGGTATAATCAGATAAGGATTACCAAAGTAGACTAAGAGGAGTAATAAATTGTTTTTGTACACACGAAGATAAGGGGACTTAATTTTACGGACAGCAGTCATCTCTGTAGCTAGGGTTCCAGACGGATTTTGTAGGTAGTCTTTAAGGTTGATTTGATATCATTCGTATAATTCAACTGAGTATTTTCCTAAGGACAAAGTTGGTAATCGGATATCTGCGTTTATCGGGATTCCACAGTTTATTTGTTTTCTCAGACATTTCGGTAAATATACTTAAACCCTTAAATGGAAAGCGTCAAAACTACTCCCTATATAGGTATGCGTACATACACACACGTAAGCTGGTATATAGTATGGTATGTTATGTACCTGTACGATGCTGAGGTCTGTGGTAAAGCAAAAATTCCAGTTATCTCCTTGCCAAAAGGAAAATAGTAACTTAGACGTAGAAACAATTAAGGCAACAATTCGTCACGTTAAGCAAGAATGTTTCTGACTGTAGTCTCAAGGATTTTTCTTATTTTCTTTTATTAGTAGTACTTTGACACAAATTAGTTATCTCACTGCTTCATCACCATGTTCTATAGTTATTTATCCATAATAATGAAAGAATGATTGTTATTGAAAACATGTGTTTTTCAAAAAGTGTAACATCGAATCAATAAGATCAGAATTTCAAAGGTTATTTGCAATTCGATTGTTAATAGATTATGGTCCAAAATATAGGTGTATGTGGAAATATGTAATGGTGTAATACCAAATTGAGCACCAGTTTTGCAAAGTAAATCATTGTGAGTGATAACGAATGTTTAGTAATAAGCTCTCGTGAGTCATGTTCATATTAAATTCTATTCATACTGATTATAAACTTCGGATGGATGAATGGTCATTTCAGAGACAGAAAGAAAAAAGTTTTTCTCAAGTTGAATTGTATGTACGTTTTATTTATTTCAGTGTTTAAGTTAACAACCACGTTTAAATAAGTAAACAGAAGGTTAGCTAATGCAAATGTAAGGACAGGGGGTAGGCGATGTCCAAGATGGAGAACAATGCTCAAAAAGGTCAACATAAAAAGGTATTTATGAATTTGTGGACTCCACAGCAGGCCAGGGTAGTAAGAGTGGTTGAACCTGTTTCTTCTTCTGTACAAATAGCATCGGTTGTTTTAGGCGAATCTCAGTAGTCTCTCTTGTTTGGAGTTTTCAGTATCTGGATGTTTTTGGGAGATTATTTGGTAACCGGTTGATGATAGAGAAGGATTCTTCAACACTAGATTTTTGGCCATTTTGGACCAGGTGGTCTAATATCGAGCTACTGACACTTCTCACTTCACCTTTATTGAACCACACACAGGTAGGCGTCAACGAGCACGACAAATCAAGTTCCTAAAGCAACGGTCAATATAACTTGCCCCACCACAAGCGCAGTTGGTCGGTAAATACAAGGAGGGGTAGATATTCTAGGTACTCCATAATCATTCTTGTATTATTATGGATATATAACTGTAAGACCTGGTGATGAAGTTGTCGGAAAGAATATTGTTTGTTCAGTGAAGTGATTTTACTTAAAGCATATATGCTTCGTATTTGACTTTTATAGGCTAATATAGTTGAAAAAGCCTTGGAACACTGGAAAATGGCGCTGTCTGTAAAGCATATCTCAAGCACCACATTATTAGTTCCTCGGTAAGGAATTATGTGTTTTTTATAAAATTCTGTTTTTGTCTTTTTCATTGTGTATTCGATCTCGTTTTATCAAGTGAATCTGATGTTTACCTTTCCCTCCTCAGTAATCACATAAAATCTGCCTTTGTCGTGTTATTTCTAACATGAAATGAATTCAGTTACTTCCATTTGATTCTTCTGCTTCCGTAAATCAGATTTGTTACAATCACACTGCTTACTTAATTACTGGTACACCCACAAGTGATTTCAGCTGATGTGATTATTACTTTGAACTATGGCGCATAGCTGAGATTGCCATTGTTTGAAATTGACATTATTCCAACTTAACAATGATGAAAATGTTGAACTCCGTTGATTTATAGGTTCGTTGAAGGAAAGAACAATAAAGAGTTGCTGTTTAGTTTAAGTTTATGGTGAAAATGTTACTCTAATGTGATAAGTAGAAGTTTTGTCACAGAAACTTCGTCAAGGAGCTCCATTTGGAATAAAATGTTAATAAGTATGAATAAAATAAAACAGTTGTCAGTGGACATCAACTCTCTGACGAAAACAGAAATCCTGAAAGCAATCAAGATGCTTAAAACTGGAAAAGCAGCAGGACAAGACAGAATCCCAGCAGAAGCATTGAAAATGAACCCAGAGACAACAGCGGACTTGATAACACCACTATTGAAGAAGGTGTGAAAAGAGGGCAAGGTATCTGAAGATTGGAAGAGAGACTACATATTCAAACTGCCAAAAAAGGAGACTTAAGTCAATGCAAAACTGGCGCGGAATTATGCTCGTGTTCATCCCAAGCACAATACTAAGCCGCATCACCCTGAAGGGAATCAAACAACCCCTGGATGCAAAACTTCGACCGGAACAGGCTGGATTCAGGAGTAACAAGTCATGTATTGATCAAATCGCCACTCTACGGATCATGGAATGGCAGTCACCTATCTATCTCAACTTCATCGAATTTGTAAAGGCCTTCAACAGCGTCGGTCGAGAAGTGATTTGAAAACCGTTTCGCTAGTACCAAGGGGTGACGCCAACAATCATGCATCTCATCCAACAGTTGTATAACAATGCTACATGTCAAGTAATACACAAAGGGAAACTCAAGGAATCCTTCGAAGTGAAGACGGGAGTAAGACAAGCTAGGTGCTTACTATCTCAAAAGATTTTCCCGATTGCGATAAGCTGAATGACATGACAGACAGTGGGCAACGAAGAGATAGACATAGAATGGACCCACACAAAAACTTGGAGGATCTGGATTTCTCCGGTGATATATGTCTGATTTCCCACTAACTGGAAGATATACAAGTGAAAAGCAACAAGCTGGCAGAAGAAGCATCCAGAGAAGATAGGGCTTCAGGTAAACATGGAGAAAACAGGGGTGATGAAGATTCCTGGCCAATAACAATGGCATCAGCAACAACAACAGGTAATAATCAGCGTCAATGGGAGAAATCTGAAAGAATCAACCTCCTTAACTAACTACCTGGGGAGCATCGTTTCAACTGCTGGCAAATGGAACTGACTAAGATATCAAAACGAGGATCGGTAAAGCAAGACAAGCAAGATTTCGTGTCCCTGAAGACTGCGTGGAGGTCAACAGTACTCATCACGAAAAATAAGATCCGGATTTTGAACTCAAATGTAAAATCAGTGCTACCATACGGATCAGGGACTTAACCAGCCCGTCATGAAGGCCGCTTTGAACAAACTATAGACCTTAATCAATAGCTGTCTTTGCTCAATACTACTAAATGCCAGATGGATAGAAAAGATCAGCAACAGGGATCTTTGGGAGAGAATCAACTCAGCAGGTACCGACTGTGCAACAAATATGCAGGACGAAATAGAGTTGAATTGGCCATATTCTGAGAAAACAAATCATCATGTAAGTGAAATCGCACGCCAGGCTATCGCTAGAGTGGAATCCGAATGGGGAGTGGAGAGTTGTTCGTCAGTGGGAGGATGGGGTGTCGTGGAGGAGGTGATGTTAAGAGGAGACGAAAGCATGTGGGCGGACGTGGAGCTAGACGGAAACATTGACAGGGAATAGAACGAAATGGAGACGTGTGGCTGGAGCCTACTGTTCCTGTGCGAATCAAAGGAAAAAATAATCAGTGTAAGATATATTTGCGATTAACCGATGAGTGCAGCAATGGATGACGCCGATTCGAACCTCAGACAGGACAAAAGTTCTTCGCAATTTGCAGAGGCAATCTGTTGATGAGTACCTAGGTTCACAGTTTCCCCCTGACTGCCTCCAGCTCCCTATGCCTTATAAGTAAGCACACAAATAAATGAAAACGAAAGATGATATGAGTAAAAGGAAATGCGTTAACAGAAATTAACACTTCCAGTTTTCGTATTGTCGGATCCAGAATCCATCAAAATTATCTTTTCATAATAATAATGGATTTGTTCTGGACGTTACATTTGTAAACAATAATGAGTCCTCAGAGTATATAGCTGCGAAAAATTTACTCCTCGCAAAGAATCTACAAGTAAAGTAGTAATTAGCAGAGTGGGTATAAAAGTTGTAAATTACGTAGTAATCAACAGCACGAAGGAAGAAAGGGTTAGAAATTCGATAAGGCGAAAGGTAGTTGAGTGTAAATTTAACAAGTGTAAAGAGGATGAGTAAATGTACAAAAGGAACACATGAGAGTGATAATAGTGAATTAGTTTCTAGAGGAAAACCAAACTAAGAAGTGAAATTGAAAATTATTAAAAATTAATAGTTTTTTTACATGGAACGACCAGTGAAGCGGTTAAGACCATAGTAGAATAAGAGACTCGACAAACCTTTTTGTATACAGAGATTGGGGTTGTATTGACAAATTGCCAGAGCCTCCTCCATACACAAAAGCCGAAACCTTACGCCCTTTGCACCATATGGCCTCACCGTATCGATGATCTTGAAAGACGATTATAGTAGAGCTACGTGGCTTGAGTTCACTAAGTGCTCGAGGATTGAACTACCATTTGCCTTGCATTCTCCTTTTGCTAACATTGCCAGATAATGCTCAGAGATGAGTTTGGGATGTGTACACTTTGTACGGCAAATATAACTAGCTCCGCAGAAGCGCGTAAATTTATAAACACACATTGAAGTGGCCAAAAGCGGCAGTTTATTCTTCATACATCCATTGATAATTTGTTGGCTGTAGATGTTGATCCATAACTCAGTTGCAAACAAGGCTTTTCTCAGCTGTCTGCATAAGCCATTCTTCGGGATCTCAGCAGCGATATCACCTTTAAATTCAACCTTCGTAAATAGCAGTTTCTTCGACACCATCTGGGTTCTATCAGGCTTTTGCTTTACCTTTTATGTTTTTCTCGATGAATCTTGGAGAATATCTATTTTCTATGAGGATTTGTTTGAGTCGCTCCAGTTGATTTGAAATATTTCTGAAATAGTACGACTACGCATCTTCCGCTTATTAAACTTATTAATGCAATATTTCTTCCAATTTCAGGCATTGTGAGGAAGCCGTTTATTACACACATCCCACATATAATGTGAAATACTGCCTACACAACTGTAAACGAGCATTAATGTGTCACTATATGGAGATACCAAGCGAATATTTATCAGTAAGGAAATTAAATATAGTATTTTACGGAACTAAATTTTTAAATTGATTGTTTTTTTTAAGAATTCATTTGACATATTATTGTGTTAACAGTGTTCTTGGGTGGAACACAAACCGAATTCACAAATGTTGCTTGAGACCTAAGCATCAGATATCAGATATATTGAAATAATCAACAGCCTTCTGAAGCATATAGGCTAGGGCATATTTCATATAGTTAAACTATAATTTTTTGAGAAAGAGATCCTGGCGGTTTACAATGCATCCCGGTTTTTCATTTAAACGGGAACCTGCATTCAGTTCAATATTAATTCGATAAGTTCCAGCATTATGAAAAATACAATACAGTTCCATGCATCTCCAGCTGCTGCTTAAGTTATTTTCATGTAGTGGTTTTGTAGAAATTTTGTTTGATTGGTTGGGGGATTTCATCATGAGCTGACATCACTTAGAGAACCACTGGAAAAGGTGGGTCTACTGGACAGCAGTTTTGTCCTAGTTTGGGACTCTTCAGAAGTACTTATCTCCATGCTTTCTCATTAACTTCAAATTTTCCCTGAAGGTTTATCATAATACGTAACCCTGTTGTAAACTGAGTAATCCTCGTCCTTCACCTACCAGTTACAATTCTGATTGTATGGAGGATTTCATCATGAGCTGACATCATTAGGAGAACCACTGGAGAACCTGGGAGTACTGCACAGCTGCTTCGTCAGCCTATTTTGAGACTCTCCAGCAGTACTCACTCACCTGGGTACGAACCCAGAACCTGCTGGTTACAAGGCGAGCTGGCTGGTAGACCATTGAGCCACTGGAACCCGATCCGATGGTTCTTGAATTCTAACTTCTGACAATTCACGACATAGCGCGACCATATTGCAATGTCTTCTTCAATGAGTTACTGCCTCATCTTCAACCTGCTGTACCCTACTGGTCATAGCTTCCACTAGAATTCCAGGTTAACTGCCTGAATAGGGCCAGTCGCCAGTGAACATCAGATTAATTTTCAAATATTGGTTTAACCTTAAGTAATTCTCCATTATGTAGTTTTTAGCGAAAAGCGTAAGTTTTACTATCCGTTTAAGAAAGATGATATTCCTACTGATAGATTTCGTTTATTTTAGTCAAATATTTCGATCTCTTCTTTTAAATGTGGTCAGAAGTACAGCGTTATGCCCACTGACTATACCGAGTGAAAACAGTCAGGAATGAATGCTAAACACTATACTAACTAGACTAATGAAGAGAATTCACATAAAGTTGTTCGAGTAGTACCTGTTCTTTACAAAAGTCTTTACAGACATTACGGAAAATCAGTGACTTTCTTCACTTCCGAAATAAAATTCAAAACAGCCGCTAACAAGAAGAAATCCTAATATCAGTTTCCGTCCATCTAGATTATTGCTACAGAAACACGCTCTCTCCAGTGGGAACTTAAAACAAGCAACAAATGTAAATGAAACAGCAGTTAATGGACTTATCAAAATTCAACAGAAATTCTCAGCTGAATACTCTACATACATACACTAGTACATTATATACTGTGAAATATACACTGCGAGATGTATGATTGATAAACTAACTAAAGTGAGTGAATCATGCGAAACGACAGGTGCGAATGTTTTACAGCACACATTCAAACAGATAAGAGGGAAGGAGTATGAGTGGTTAAAATTAAGACTGTGATGGATCACAGTTCAATTACACCACTTTAATAAAAAATAAGGTGCTTTAAAATCGTGATTCGGTAGAAGTTAGAATTCATTGAGTTAGGTCTCTGAGGCTGAATGGTCAGCGAAATTAATTACTTGTTTGTTACCAGAAGGTCCTGGATTTGAAAACCGGTGGGTGCACACTGATGATGAGTCCATGAGTAGTACGAAGCAGTTGTCCAGTACTCCTTGCTGATTTTCAGTGGTTCTCTAACTGGTATCTACCTGTGATAAAACTTGTGAAACAATAAGCTTTCAGGAAAAGACCTTGAAATGGAGTGATTGCATACTGAATAATAATACTACGACAGACTCTCAAAATGGGAATCGACGGTTAAATCAGGGATATTGTTTAAAGGGGATAGAAAACCTGGAATCATGTGATAGTGTTTTCTTATCACGTGATGAAAGTCTAACAAATGATAGGCATTTGGGTTATAATAATGGTAAACAATTTAGGATAATGACATACGACATACGATAATAAATTCTTTGAAAACAGTCTTCGCCGAATATTGTGTTCTTAATGCTATAATGGAAATTATTACATTATTATCATTTCGTCATATTCACCATGTCCTATACCATGTTTATAAACTCTAATCTAAGAGCCTTTTGTTATTATGCAACAACCGAAGGCAAGACACGGGAGCCAAGGTATATTTTCAAGTGATCAAATTGCTACTTAATTCTATACAGTTTTGTATTCTTTAAACAATCACTGAGTGTATGACTTTGGTGTACATTAAACGACATGAGATAGAATGTTCATATATATATATATATATATATATATATATATATAGCATTTTGTTGTTAATGCACTTTTGAACTGTGGCAATAGTTTTCAGACGTTAACGTGAAAAAATAAAATGATTCTTACAAAGTGAGAATAATATTCCGTTGGAACATAGGACTTCAAGCTAGAGTCCTGAAGTTTCAGTAGCAGTGGTGTTTTTTTTACGGGATTGGGTTGCTAGTCTCATGCCTAACCTTTCCTCTTTGCCAGTCTTACTACTGGCTCAGCAAGCGAGATAAAGGAGCGCATTGGCCCGGGACCGAACTCCTGACCACATGTGGTGTGGTTGGTGAGCATTCTACCGCTGTGCCACTGACGCACAGTCTAAATGCGTACTGTAAACCATTCGCACATGTCGTCTCGCGTAGTCTATTCACTTTAGTTTATTTATCAGTCACGCATCTCTTAATGTATATACGTTCCACTGTATGAATGTAGAGTATTCAGCAGAGTATTTTTATACTTCGTTCAATTACTCATGCTATTTTAAATATATAATGCTTGAAATTCTCTAAATTTTCTTTAAAACTTCAGGAATGTTATCAAGCTTCACCTTACGGAACGCTTAGTCAGATTTATCAAAATGGAACAGGTGTACCACCGAACAGCTACGTTTTATTTGTTACATATATTCAAGATAATCTGTGTGCAGGAAATCTTTTTGCTTATGCGACATCTTGTCAAAATGATCCTCTTACGGATAGGTAAGAGTAAAATATATATGGTATACATATATATAAATATGCTGTATTTACTGTTATATAATACTGCCTTCCTTTTAGACTAATGACGTGTTAAAACAGCAAACCAGATATAAGCAGTCTTTGCTTTCAAGACTAATTTACTGTCTCTGTAATAATAGAGATTTGTATCTCATTTGGATGATTTGCAGTTAGTAGTTTTCTCTGACCTGGTTGATTTTGTTGCGGAGCTTTCGGCGTCCCTCTAGACAACATCTTCAGTTCAATATTTAGCATGAAGTGTACTGATTTAAATTTTCCATGAATGATACAACTGCGTCTCCCCGTTTCCCTGGCAGAGAAAACACCAAAGATCCCATGGAATTCCTAGAAGCTTGGTATTCAAACGAATATGCGATTAGCAAACATGTTTAGATAGACCAAATATACCAACTAATAAAAAGTAAATCACATGTGACTAGAAGGTTTAAAATCCAAGTCAATAGAAAATGATCAATACATATATAAAGATGGTTACCGGGAGACGCAGTTATACCATTCATTGAAAATTTAAATCATTTAACCTCATGCTAAATATTACACTGAAGATGTTGTCCAGAAGGACGATGAAAGCTCCGCAACAAAATCAACCATGTCAGAGAAGACTACTAATTTCAAATTACTCTTATTGTCTCAAAGACTAAACATCAAGTTCATTTTATACGCTTTAACCACGAAATAACAATAGTGTTATGGTATATCTTCTGAAATGCCTATAACGTAAATAGTAAATGATACTTATTGTTCAAGGTAGAAGTTAACAAGAGCAGCATCAGATAAGGTGATTGCTAATAACTGCTAAACAGGATGGAATACATTTCTAGTACAGAACTCTCATGAAGATAGTTTTCTTGTGACCTATGTGCTCAGATAGAACACTTTAGTTATTTATTGAAAAACTATTAGATTTAAATTGTTAAAAAAAATATCTTCTGGCCAATAAAAGGTAGGCATGGCAAGAAAATAAAAACAATATTTTTGGGGAGAAATACCTTCAAAAACCTTACTGAGGTATTTTTTTCAATGGAATTTTTCCCCACAATTACGTCCTGATTTTCACTATCAAGCACTCGAATTTCCACGCCTTTTCTGACTAACTGGATTGGCCCTGTGTGAAGAGTTACTACTTATACGTTCACAATGTTATAATCAAGTTAACCTAGAAATCTAGACTAGAAGATGAAACTGCTACTCAGCAACAAACCAATTTAAATCTTGAAGATTTAGTTTATGGGGATGTGATTGCTTTCAAGTTCAATCATGGATTCATATCAGCTAGGGAACTATTAACAACCAGGAAGCAGCGGGAAGCTGTTTCATCCTGAAGATTCCTAAACTCACCAAAAATACCCATTGAGTTATGAAGAAAATAAAAGATAGATCCAGCGAAGAAAATTTTCTTTATCGATGAAATCATCTTCAGAGGCTGTACAGTCGTATTTATACTTACGAAAATATATAGTGGTCCATTATTGAGTAATAGGGGGTGACATAATCAATATAATTACTCAGAAGTGGCTTTAGGAGTGAAAATTGAGAGTTGTTAATTACGGGGTACTCAACGGCACAAAGATAGAAATTCGATAAGGTTAAAATAGCCCAAATTTTGCAGGCTGACCATAGACATCAGGTGTGTGTCGGCAGGGGATCGAAACTCAGACCATATGCATGGTCAGCGAGAGTCCTAACCACTGTGCCACCGACGCACCGATGTATCTTTGGTACAGATGGAAACTGTCGATAGTAGGCAGTTAAATACTATTCTTTAAACTAGCAAAGAATCAGTCTGCAAGTAAAGGACCCAATGGTGACCCCATTGCCACTCCATCTCTTTGTCTTTAAATCGTGTTGTTGAACTTCAACTGGACATTTAGAGTGCACCTCAAAAGTAATTCCTTTAAGTAGTGGATCGGAACACATACGTCTACATTATTATCCTCCATGAATTTGCATATAAAGCAGATAGTTTCAGTGAGGGGACGTTTGGTGAAAAGGGAAGTAACATCCATAGATATCATTTTCTTCCCGAATACATTAGCATCACTTATTGAATCGACGAATTCAAACGAATCAGAAACACTATGCTTGCAGAGGTTAAACTAAACTGTTTATATGTCTTGTCCTAAACTGTGACAAAACAACTAACCGATTCTGCTTGGCCATCAATTGTCCTCTAACTATATCAATCCGAGATCAAATTCGAATTTATGAAAAACACTGAGACAGTGTAAAATCAAAAATTGTCTGATATATGCTTAGTAAATGCCAGAAGAAGTCTCGTATTTATGGAGATCGATTATCACTAATTACTCCAATATTCCATATAAAAACTATTGAATAAGTTAAACAATAACATGTCGCCGCTTCTGGTTAACAATCTTTAAAGTCTCACTGAGTGTTCACAAGTCTCGTAGTAAACTGACATATCAAATATGTCAGATTTGCACCTAGGGTGTCCACAAAAACTTGTAGCCTGAGATACAAAATTAAAACATTCAATAGATGTCAGTGTGTTATTTTCCAAGGTTGTTCAAGTTTTCTGTCTTGAGAAGTTTAAAGTTTATAAGCATACAAATAATCAACCTGTATAGAGTAAATTCTGTTAATGCGTTCCTAAAAACAAAATACAATCACTAAATTGCCTTTAGGAAATATTATATATATATATATATATATATATATATATATGGGTTACACGTATATGTCAAACTAAGAACATCTCATTGAAACTTGTATTTCATTGACATCTATGAGTGAGACAGAAAATAAAGCAATTCCAGTGCGTAAAAATATCTGCTACTAATTGAGTGAAATGAGTACCTTCACATAGCACTCATATCAACCAGCGGTACTTGCTAGCCAGTCAGATCGAGGTGATCTGAACACCATACGGCCACTTCTCTCGCTTGCTGCCGAGTTCATCAGCGAGGCAAATGGTATGACTCAGTCCAGAGAGCCGAATCAGTTCTAACTACCCAAACATTATATAGATTGCAAACTGCATATTCAATTTCAACGCATTCTATTGTTTTTATATGTCATCTGAGAATTGTGTGATTATGCAATTATTCTGAGTGTTAAAATTTATGGATGCACATTATATTTGCATATGTAAGCAACAAAAGTTTAGGAAGACAAAGTGCTTTTCACCAAATTGATAGCATCACTTAGTTTCTATAGTTCCTATATCAAACCTGGTCTAGTTAACTATCTCGCTAGTTGTCTAGCCGGTCGCAAGCGCCGGTAAAGTGGGAGGGTTGGGCGTGGGGCTAGCGACCCCACACCAATAAATTTTTCAAACCCCCAGAGAAACTTCTACACACAGAAAATAAATTAAAAATACAAAAGCTTCAAATAACAACAATCTTAGTTTCGCTAGAATAGGAGAGGCGAAATGACACAGAGAGCTGGTGAAAGTCCGCCTTCGGGAAGCCAGTCAGCCAGACAATGTGTCTTCTATCGATGAAGGCAAGAATAAGAACGGGGAGGTATAATGCTCATACAATGTAAGAAACTGGGAAAGCTGACCAGGTAGCCAACGAAATGCAAAAACATGACTTAGAAGCACTGGATATCTGCGAGAACAGTTGGAATGGATGTGGACTGACAATATTTTCAACTGGACAGTCAGGAATCTACGCCGGTATGGTCACCCAGCTGACAACCAGGAACACACTAAGCCAGTGAGTGGCTATCATGATATCATCAGTGGCAGCCAAGGACCTAATGCAGTGAGAACCGATCTCTCCACCCAGGATCATGACATCAAGTTTCAACTCGAAACGGAGGAAGGAAGTAAAAATTATCCAATCCTACGCACATGCTAAAAACAGCGCGGAACTAGTGGAGAAGAAGGAAGAGTTTTACAGAAAACTACAAACAGTAATGGACAACATTTCAAATGGTGACATAAAAATCTTATGGGCGATATGAATGACAGTCAAACTTGGGGTGGTAATGTCAAGTCGGTTCTTCTGCACGGGTCAGAAACTTGCACTGTGTGTTACGAAAACGATTTCCAACAAGTCGCAAAATTTTATCAACAGATGCCCACTTCACTGGCTCCATATCGAAGGTCAGATGGCTGGTCAGAAATAATTAGTAACAAGAAATGTGGCTGTGAACAAACCAACCAAGAGACGCTTGGAGAAAATAGAGACGGATTGGTCGGGCATACGCTGAGGAGGTCATCGAAAGATATCACACACAATCCAGGTCATAGAGGAGACCGTGAGAGGAAGAGATGACAGAGTTCGGTCAGTCGGGGATCCCGATGAAGAGGACGGCAGAAAAAAAATCGAAGTGGAAATGTGTTATTGAAGCCAGCCCTATATCCCAATCGGAACGCAAGGGAATAATAATAATAAAATGTCAATGCGTAGTCCTCTTAATGTAAATTAACTGATTGTGAAAGTCTAGCAACAAATTTGGATGCTAATAACAGGAATGAAAATATTATATGACGCCTTGATTCAAACTGCCCTCCAGGCGATGCTAATGGTGATAACTGACTTTAGTGAAGCTCTCACGACAGTAGTTCTTAGGGGTGGACAACGTATGGATCCTATTGTCTTCAAATAACCCGATAAAATATCATGTGAAACTATGGAAGTGATATTACGACCAAGTATATTTCCAGTGCTTCCAGACAAGCCTATAAATATTGATGATAAACAACTCTCATAACTTCATTCCTTCTTCTAAGGTAATTTGGAGATACACTTACTGTGCTGAAGTACGGGAAAATCCCTATCAGTCCACATATATATAGTTCACTTTAATATTAAGTTAGAAAATGCACATAGTGAATTGACATTGTGAAATACATAGTATATACTATTGGGTTGATACACTAGCATCTACTTAGGACCATTTCATTCTAACAGACCATCACACTTATATCAGTGAAGACAATTTTGGTAGAATGTCTGAGTAATCGAGCTAAGATTTCAGACAGAAAATAGGAAAATTAAAATAAGAAAATAAATAGGATCAGAGTAGGGTCTCGACTAAGTAACACTGTTGGTCAGAAATGTAAGAAGACTCAAAAGAAAAGTATAAGAGAAAAAATAGCACTGGTGTAAATGATAACCATAATATTTTTGGGAAAATCCCAAGTCTTCCACAAGAAGAAAGTAGAAAATTTACTGAGAATGAATCTGGTGGCTATTTAAACGTAAAAATATGCTCAAGGATGAACTTTTACAGTCTATGGAGTGGATTGACTCAATCACGCAAAAGTATTGAGTTTCTTAAATACTGATTGGCCTGAGGTCAAATGGAGATATCAAATTCGCCACCTGGACTCAGCCAGATCACCGGAACATAGTATTGTATTTTTCAAGTGTTGATCTGCAGAAATTTGATTGTTTTGAGGATTGATTGCGAGCTGGAACCAGTTAGGGAATTAGCAGAACTTGAAATTCATGGACTAATGGGTAGGCTCCCAGTGGCTGAATGGTATATGAGCTGGTCTTGTAACTGGAAGGTCCCGGATTTGGCCCCAATGTGTGAGTATTGACGAAGAGTGCCTAACTAGGACGAGACAACTCTTCAGTACCTTCAGGTTTTCCAACGGTTCCCTAATTAATGTCAGCTTGTGATGAATCCTGATATACTTATCGTTAAGGCATGTTATCTAGGAGTAATCTCAATCATTACAAGCATTCCCTAGCTTATGCATACACACTAGTGTTAGACTGGATAGAAATATTTAAAAAACACAGATGTAAATTGAATTTACTCATCGAACCAACCAGCATCCAACACAAGAAGTTTAAAGAACGCGAAATCAGCTAAAGGCTTTGACTGCAACATACTGTGTGTATAACTATTATAAATAGAATAGACTGATCCTCTTGTTGCATTCTGTTTTGAATTATCTTCCCTGTAAATAATTTATCATCACATTACATTATCGAATTTGAAGGTTAGCCAGTTAATTTTTTCTATTTATTACTTTTAACCAGTACTGAATGAGCCTTGATGTACCACACTATTATCTCTAGCACGACACTGTTTAGCATTTGAAAATGGATTATCCAAAATTGACCTATGCTTGAGACTGTAATTTGGCCAAATACTTGATGTATTATAGGATTGCGGTTGTGGTCAACATGCAGGACATTATAAGCATAATTCCTTCCTTCTAGTTACCTAATTTAAAAATAAATGTGGTCATTAATAGCTATTTTCAGCACTAATTTCTAACCAGTCAGTGCTTTAATATGATAAATAGTTTTAGCATATCATCGAAACCATTTTGAATAGGCTTAAGACTTTCAACAACACCTGCTAGCTCCCCATACTGAAGCTCAGATGGTTGGCCAGAAAGAATTAGCAACTAGGAATTCTGGGAACAAAACAACCAACAGCTTATTCACCAAAAATATGTCGAAGGAAATCAAGATGAGTAGGGCACATGCTCAGGAAACCGTCGAGCATTATCACATTCCACTGGAATCCCAATTAGAAACGACGAGTCTGTCATGTATCCATTGGTGACATGATGAAGATCGTGTGGGGTGGAGATAAGAGCTTATGTACATTAGTAGGGCTAGTCAAAATAGACTGCAGAGAAAAGGGTGAAGTGTAGATGTGACACTGAAGCCTTATATTCCACTACGGGAAAAATTATGTGATAGTTATTAACTACAGGTGGTTAACAAGGTTACATTAATGGGTAGTATGATACTAGTTCTCTTACCGTGTTAATGTGAGCAGACTCGCTAAATTTTCTAAAACACGATTTCCGGTCGTCTAACTATCTGGTATTTTTTAAATTTTTTCAATCAGACCTGTGATGGGCTACTTGAACATGTGTCCCGATATGTTCTCTAAGAGAGTAGTGAATCCAAGTGAATGGATAAATATAATTAAACATGAAGTTGGCCATGCATTGGTGAGTTGTAATATAATTATCCTTTTTTTAATTGAAAAATACAAAATGTTGATTATGTTGATTTGAAATCGTGTAAGACTAAGTTGAACGCTTCAGTTTGCTAGAAATCTAATTCCCTTAGGTTCACAGTGGAACGCAAAACTTCAGCAGAATATATCCATTTTGCCCTGTTCTCCTCATTTCTCTTCAGCTGGCCCCGCGATTGCCCACAAGCTTTAATCTCTCGCTAACACCATCTTCTCCATGTCACACCCTCAGGCCAAACTCGCCGTTTCCCAGCAGAACTCCACTCGAAGGCTGTGTGTGAGTAATATCACCCAACGGTTGCCTCAGCCTGAGTCTACTCCACCTCCATTTTCTTATACATGTTCACTGAGTAATAGGTTCTTGATTGATTCATTCACAGAGTCGCTTGGTATTAATCCTTTCTAATCTGATCTTCAGAAGTGAGATGGAGAATGTAGCTGTTGATAAACAGTTGAGGCGACCTGTTGTACATGCTTTTGGTAACGCGTACTGTTAGTATCTAAAATTAGATATGATGGAGAAGATTTGTAGCTCAGGTAGATGATCTTGATGTAGTTGTATTATCTGGGCTGAATAGTTAATTAGCGAAGCTTTCATTGCCCCTACTAGGTGACATCTTCAGCGGATACTTCAATTTGAAGTGAGCTTTTAGGTTTCTCTGTGAGTTTATTAATCATCTCTCCTGGTTGGTGAACTTGGACGTGATTGGTTGTTTTTGTGTGTTTTCACACTGCTAGTCTATTTGTATTGGAACTGATTGTTTTCTTTGACTTGAACTTTGATCCTTTGTGTGTAAGGTTTCTTTCTTATCGGTTGGTAAATTGTGTCTATCTCGATGTGTCTATTGATTGACGATTCACTGGATACCAGACAGGTTTCTAAAAATTCTCTAGCATTCTTGTTGTTTCCTCTGTCTAATATTTGAACGTTGTCCAAGTCAAATTAATGTATGTGGTTGTCTGTATGTAGTGATATGAGGGAGTGGAGGTCATGTCTTTTGACGGCTAGCTTATGATCGTGGTTACGATGACGAAGGAAACGTCCACTTTGACCAATGTAGTGTTTTTCGCAGTTGTTACAATTTTTTTTGTAGATGATGTTGGTTTTATCTACTTGCGCTGTTGAGTCTTTTGGCTGACACAGAGCCAACTGAGTGACGTTTATGTGCAACGTCAATTGCCTAAGGTCTGAATAGTCTTGCAGTTATTTCTGAGATCTCCTTTATATATGGTAGGGCGATTTTCTTTGTGCTTTCCTTGAGGACCTTTCATTTGATAGGTAAGCTTGTTGGAATATGTCTTTTGATGAAATTCCGTGAATATCCATTCTTTTGGAAGACATTCATAAGACATTTTTCTCCGATTTTCCTTAAGGTGGGAGTGCTGCTGCTGAAAAGACACAAAAACAAACAATCACTTCCAAGGTCACCAAGAGAGATGATTAATAAAGTCGTGGAGAAATGTGAGAGATCACTACAAATTGAAGTATCTCCTGAAGATATTCCCTAGTAGGGGGCAATGAAAGCTTCACAAATTAACTATCCAGCTCAGAGAACACAACCACATCAAAATAGTATCTGAATTGTATGTAAGAGCTAACTTGACATTAGTGAGGAGAATCCGAATTTGCTCTTCCTTCATGCTGATTGCAATAGATTCCCACGTCATTTTCCAAATGGCAACGGTCTCTCTTACCTATCTTATCCTTTTTTTGATATCGTAATCCGTGCTATTTGTGATTGAAATAGTCCTGTTTAGATAAATGACCATGATTCTTATGTTAGAAGTGATATAAATATATTTAGAAGATTTAACTTACCAGAAAATATTCGCATTTAGAGTTCATATTTTTTCTTTAATCGAATAAACGTTTTCACAAAACGGTCACAAATTTTCAATAGAGGAACCACAAAATGACTTCTTTCCTACCACAAAACTGAAAAATCTGATAATTAAGTATCACAAGTATGAGGTGCAATCAGAGCAGATGCGTACAGTTTGTATCACACGAAATTGTGAAGAGTTTTCAGTCTCTGGCTCTATTTAAACCTTCTTGGTTACCATCAACTGACAGGGAGATCAAAAGTTTACATAATAGCTCATTCAATGGTTTTTGTGAAGTTTTGTTGTTATAATAGATTAGATTTCTTGTAGGCATGTTGTATTACCTCTTAATTAATTAAAATGCTTTCATGTCTAACATTATCTTATGCGCGGAAAATTTACATAAAGTCTCCTTGAAAAAAAACAATTAATCCTCAGGCTTATTTTATGCAAATTCAATTTTAGGGAGTATCAAGTTATCATTATGCACTAATGCGTGATGAACGCGGATATCCTCGAACAGAAAGGGATCCCCAAACCAATCTGCCTAGACATAGAGATACGAACAACAATTACTTGGCGAGGTAATAACAAATTACAATATAACATTATCTTTGACGAACATTTCAGGGTTTTTAAAGATTTTTTTAATAGAGGTCTTTTTGTTGTTGAGTTCAATGCGTAAGCATATCTTAAATTTCACATGATAATCCATATTGTCGCATTCGGTTATAAAATAACAGTCTTAAAAAATACTTATGTGACACCTCATAATGGAAAGTTGTGCTTCAAACAGAAAACCCAAGAAAAGATAATCCTACATTAAGCAGTTAATACTAAATTGTGCTGGTTTGATACAAAATGTGATTGAAAACATATAAATCCCAGCAGCAAATATATAAATGAATTTTCATGTGTTAGTCTGTACGGATTTGATCTGTCTCAAGCTTGACCAAGGACTAATATCATTTACAGAATCATTCAGATCCAGGGTGTAGTGGATAGCTGGTACTGTTTAACAGCACGCACTCATTACCCTACCGCTAATCGAGCTGAAAATCATCAGGTTATGAAGTAAGATCAGTGACCATTCAGCCACTGGGACGACACCCCGTGGCCTATGATTTCTTATTTATATCAGCTGGTAGTTTCAGCCAGAACGCCAGCCAATGTCATCGGCGAGTATTTGTCCTCACAACCGACCCGCTGCACCCTGATAGTACACAGTGATGGCAAGTTTTGAATTTGTTGGTTACTTCGCAAATTCCGCTGAAAAAAATCAGTCAGCACTGGCTATTATGTGAGCGTTGCCAATTACTTCTCGCCACCTTATCTTTAGAAGCTGTAAATTCGCATGCAAATAATTCAGTTCTCTGGCTTGGAACCTCATTGGCTCCATAATGGTGAAAAGTTCCATAATAGGGCGAAGATACTTTAAGGAAGATAACGTGAACTTTGACTCTACTGCTGTTGATATTCATGTGAATTCGCTACCTCTAAATGGATTCAGAATCTGAAACGATAATAACTTATTGAAAATGCAGAAAATACATGAGCTTAAATTTGGTTTGAGGTTGATTATTATTATTATTGTATCCTTTAGTTCCTAGAGGAACATAGGGCTTCAGCTGCGCACCTCCATTGCCTTCTGTTTTCTGACAACCTTTTCACCCCGCTCCAGGTCTGTCCACATGCTTTCATCTCCTCCTCGCATGACCTCCTCCAAGTCACACTTGGACGACTAACTCGCCGCTTCCCTTTCGGGTTCCACTCGAGCAATGGCTTGTCTAGTGATGTCACTTGATGGTTTCCTCAGCGTATGGCCAATCCAACTCCATTTCTTTCTGCCTATTTGTTTCACAATCGGTTCCTGATTGGTTCGTTCTTGCCAGAGATCCCTGTTGCTGATCTTTTCTGGCCATCTGATCTTGAGTATTGAGCGAAGACAGCTGTTAATGAAGGTCTGAAGTTTGTTTGAGATGCTCTTTATGACGCGCCAAGTCTCTGATCCGTATAGTAGCACTGACTTTACATTGGAGTTGAAAATCCGGATCTTATTTTTGATGCTGAGTGCTGTTGACCTCCACACAGACTTGAGAGTAATGAAAGCTTGTCTTGCTTTTCCGATTCTTGCTTTGATATCCTCGTCAGTTCCGCCTGTAGTTGAAACGATGCTTCCCAGGTAGGTAGGTGAAGGAGATTGTTTCTTTCAGGTTCCTCCCATTTATACTGATTGTTGTCTGTTGTTGTTGCTGCTGTTGGTGTTGGCCAGGAATCTTTATCACCTCTGTTTTCTCTATGTTCACCTGAAGTCCTATCTTTGATGCTTCTTCTGCCAACTTGTTGCTTTTCACTTGCATATCTTCCAGTTTGTGGGAAATCAGACATATATCATCGGCGAAATCCAGATCCTCCAAGTCTTTTGTGTGAGTCCATTTTATGCCTGTTTCCTCGTTGTCCGTTGTCTGTCGCATTATCCAATATACTGCAATCAGGAAGATCATTGGTGATAGTAGACAGCCTTGCCTCACTCCCGTCCTCACTTCGAAGGCTTCCGTAAGTTTCCCGTTGTGGATTACTTGGCATGCAGCATTGTCGTATAACTGTTGGATGAGATGTATAATTGTCGATGGGACCCCGTAGTAGCGAAGTAGTTGCCAAATGACCTCTCGATCGACGCTGTCGAAGGCCTTTTCAAAGTCGATGAAGTTGAGATAGAGAGGTGACTGCCATTCCAAGCTTTGTTCAATGATGATCCGTAGAGTGGCGATTTGATCAATACATGATTTGTTTCTCCTGAATCCGGCCTGTTCCGGACGAAGTTTTTCATCTAGGGCTTGTTTGATTCTCTCCAGGATGATGCGACTTAGTATCTTGCTTGGAATGGACAGAAGCATAATTCCACGCCAGTTTTTACATTGACTTAAGTCTCCTTTCTTTGGTAGTTTGAATAAGTATCCGTTCTTCCAATCCTCGGGTACTTTGCCCTCTTTCCACACCTTCTCCAGCAGTGGCGTCATCAAGTCCGCTGTTGTCTCTGGGTCTATTTTCAAAGCTTCTGCTGGGATTCCATCTGGTCCTGGTGTTTTCCCAGCTTTTAGCATCTTGATTGCATTCAGGACTTCTGATTTCGTCGGGGGGTCAGTGTTCACTGGTAGTTCTGCTTCCGTTGTTGGTATTGTTGGGCGCGTTGTAGGTGGCGGACGATTTAGAAGTCTTTTGAAGTGTTCAGCCCAGTGCTTTCTTTGTTCCACCTCTTTGGTGATTGACTTTCCATTGTCGTCCTTTATTGGCTTAATCTGTGTCGAACGTTTGCCCGAAAGGTGCCTAGTTGTTTGGTAGAGTGTGGCGAGGTCTCCTTTGCCTGCAGCTTGTTCTGCTTCGTTTGCCATGGTTTCATAATATTTTCTTTTGTCTTCCCTGGCACTCTTCTTCACTCTTTTGTTCAGTGTATTGTAGCTTGCATTCAGCTCCTGTTTTTGTTGCTCGTCAGTGCACTGGATAATCTTTTGTTTCACTGTCCTTCTCTCTTCTATTAGTTTCCAAGTGTCCGTAGTGAGCCACTGTTTGTCCTGTCTCTTTTTTCTGCCTAGAATTTCTATGCAGGTTTGGCTCCACACCGTTTTCAAGTTGTTCCAGTGCTTTTCGACGCTGACCTTTTCGCTGGTGTTGATTTGTATCTCGGCTTTGTCCTTTATGCTTGCAATGAAGATGTCCTTTGTAGCCTGGTCCTTCAGCTTTTGAGTGTTGAACTTGGCTTGTGGTCTATCTGCAGCTCCTGATTCCCTGAAAGCTTTTAATTTGATTTGGATTGTCCCTTGTACGAGATAGTGGTCTGAGCCAACGTCTGCTCCTCTTCTTGCTTTTGTGTCCAGTAGGCTGCGCCTCCACTTCCTTGAGATTGAGATGAAGTCGATTTGGTTTTTGGTTTGCCCGTCTGGTGACACCCATGTAGCCTTGTGGATATCTTTGTGCTTGTATACACTGCCACCAATCCCTAGTTCGTTGAAGGCGCAGAAGTCGGCGAAGAGTTCTCCATTTTCATTCATTTCTCCGAGAGCTTCTCTACCCATGATGAGTTCCCTTCCTGTGTTGTCTGGTCCCAGTTTGGCGTTCATGTCTCCCATTAGTATTTTCATGTCGCCAGCTGGAGTATTGTCCATTGTTGCCTGTAGTTGTCTGTAGAATTCTTCTTTCTTTTCGAGGTCTGCGTTGTTTGTGGGTGCATAACATTGTATGATTGACACTTTCCTTCCTTTGGAGTTGAATCTGGCGGTCATTATCCTGGACGAAATCGCCTCCCATTGCATCAGGGCTTTCGTTGCCGTTGGTGACATCATGATAGCCACGCCCTCGGTGTGCGTGTGGTTATCTTCTGGGTGACCGGAGTAGATCACTGACTCACCCGTTGACAATTTGGTGAGTCCACTCCCATTCCATCTGCTTTCACATATTCCCAGCACTTCGATTCCGTATCTTTTCATCTCGTTGGCGATCTGGGCAGCTTTCCCTGTCTCGTACATAGTTCGGACGTTCCATGTCCCCACACAGACTTTTTCTTTTGGTGCAAAGAGGTTCATTGTGCTGAAGTTTCTGTAGCAATTTTGTTTACAGGGTGGGGTTGCTAGCCTCACGCCTGAGAAAGGAATGATTACATTAAGATAAAGTTTAGAGAGAAGCGACCTTTTGGGTTGCTCCCCTCAAAATCGGAAATAACGGACAAAACAATGAGAACAACACCAGCAAAAGGAAAACAGTTCACAGAAAAAGGGCAAAAAGAGACAACAACGATACAATAAAACAACATGCAATATAGTTCAGCACAGTTAACTAAAATGATATCTCAACCATAAACTCACTGACTTGGAACAACTTGAACATTTAAATCCAACAATATATACAATTATAGATGTGTTTATGTTTAAAAATTTCACAAATCCAAATAGTTAGTTATAGGTATTATCTGTCAATAAGATTATATCCTCGTATTTAGTGTTCGAAAGGTAAATAATTGTAATAGTTGAGGTTGATTAGTGTTGAGAAATCTTAACTGGCTTTGGATAATCGTACTTTCAGCGTGGTACTGTAATGAATGTGAACATTTCTAGAGATTTGGTTAGACATATAAGTAAATTAGAGTACAGATAATAGGGCTGAATAGAGTGAATGGAGTAAAAGTTTCTCAAACTACGGTATTACTTATATACCTGTGCATTCATGCACCCAGCCTCACTGAATAGATCAGTTATGGCGATAAACCTATGACATAAAGACACATTATTCTGAATAAGAAAATATGTTTTAATACAACTTTAGAGAGTAAAATTAGGCAGTATACCTTCTAATTCCTAAATTAGCAAATCATTTAACAAAATGGATAGCGTTGGAAATTTTTTGGTTGACCCCTTACTTTACCACTTCCACAGCAAGACACAATAGTTACTCGTTTAAAGGATTTTTGTAATCTGTTTATAGTTTGTGAACCTCCAGCTGTCTAAAATATTTTGAGACAAAAGGTTATATCTGTCATTAGTGCAGTGGAATGTTATATTTTTCGACAAAAGTGCCGCTGGTTATCGTCTCTGTTCCTAACTAACCACGTTCTGTGTGCGATTTCCAGAATTAAAAATCAGATATCTCAATAATCTACGTTAGTTTAAAAACTGATGAAAGCATTCACAAGAAGTTACAAGAAATTTTCTATTCTTACTTCGCTCACAGTACAAACACAATTCAGAAAATTCAACGAAACTGGATGTCAGCCGTTACAAACGTTCCTAGGATGGTCAATTCTTTAGTAACCCCTTCTGTACTGGTAAGACAATTGAGTCGTAGTTATTTGAACCACTTTATTAATCTTGAATTATTAGAGGATGAAAGCAAAGTGTTTCTGAATAATTATATGCTGTTTTGGCATCAGCGGCACAGCTGTAGAATGCTTGCCAACCACGCTACATGTGGTTCGGGGTTCGGTCCCCAGCTGACACACTCCTTTACCTGGCTAGGCGGGTAATAAAACTGGTAAAGAGGGAAGGTTGGGCATGAGGCCAGCAACCCAATCCTGTAAAAGTAAATATCACTGGAACCGAAACTTCACAGCTCTAAATGGAAGTTGTTTGTTCCACATAAAGAAACAATAATAATAAATAATAACATGCTTTTTTAGACAACTCTTATTGAATTTGATTGTATCGGGGACTGAAGAGTATTCGACTGCATATAACCGAAAGTTTGCAACAAAACAAACTACGCTCAATTATTTATTAAAAAGTCATTTTCATTTTCCAGTTGATTCATTTAACCGGAATGCTCTACTTGTGTTGACTTGGCTCCTAGTACGGATGCTTTGACAACAACTGAGAAGTAGCTTGAAACAATTTAGTTGATGGTGACTAGGACTTCGTCCCTTCGTGGAGTTGTTAACTGTTACTAATGAAGGTGATGTTGTTCTCGCTGAGGCTCAAACCTAGTACTCATTGTTTCAAACACCAAAGATTTATCACTAGACCACTTAGGCTTCGAAATTTGAAACGATGGGTTGTGGTTGCATGCTTCAATGGGAACAAGCTTACTTTCACTGAGGATTCCAGTGCATTCAGATGACGGATACCGAAAGGGAAGAAACGCTCACCCTGAATTCCACTGCTTGCCACCAGTTCACAAGTTCCTTCTGACTGTATCTGAATTTCATAAGTGAAGAATTTCTTTGTCATTATTCTACTGAGTAACCTTTCTAAATTCATATTTCTAGTGTGTTACGAAATCAAGTATACATATTTGATAACAATTAAGGGGAAACCGTATGATGTGATTCATTTAAATGAAATGGCTTGATTCATTTTCAGCAGTAGTATTTACAAGATATCTGAGTCCTTGTGATTTTCACTCAAATGCTGGTAATAAAACGTAAATAAAAGAGGACAAAATCATTTTAATACATATCTGTTCTCTTTTAAACATATTCATTTAGAGTGCAGCTCGCAAGCATTTTAATTGTAAAACACTGGACGGTGTCGATTTGGAAAATGAAGGCTCTTCAGCCAGTGCTGGATCACATTTTGAGGCTAGGATTTATGGTGTAAGTTCAAAATCCTTAAAGTTATATCTTCTGGTAACTGAATGCAATCAGTCTATTATCTACCAGTCTAATCATTTCCAGATGGCCAAAATGAGAATGAGGAATATAAATGCAGGAAGAGTTGAAATAAATATTGGAGTTCTGTTTCATTAAAAAGATGGTTGCAGCGAAGAAAATTTTTTTTTCTACGAAGTCATCAACTAGGCTGTACATTCGTGTATTTATATTAGATGTGTGGAAAAGTTCCAGAATTATTTCCTGTTAAAAGTCAAACTGATAAAATTATTAAGTGTAAAAACAGAAGATAGGTAGTAGCACTATTCTAGAAATATTACAGGTCAAAGGTTAGATTAAAAATTACAATTTGTAATAATCCGGAAGGTAGGGTAGAAAAGACAAAATAGGATTATAATTACTGGAAAACTCGTCAGTTTGTATAAATACAGGTTAGGGACGTAAAGGACCTCGCCGGCAATGGACTTCAGGATGTTCGAGTTATGGCCAACCTAGTTAACCCGTCAGATGCTGGGATGGAATCCAATGACATGTTTGAATTATTTTTGGGCCTGATGTTTTCAAGTCGATCAACACCTCCAGTGTGCACTTAAAAGTTAGACTGATGGTTAGAGGCAATTGGCAAAATCTTTGAATATAGGTTACATCGCTGTCAGTAAGGCATATTTTCATTCATGAATTACTTCATGTAAGTCCTGAAATACCAAACCGTATCACACAGCATTGCCGTCTGATACATTAGCATTCAGCTGTCAGAGCTGGTGATTGACGTCCTGTTGGAGTGTAATGGATACTTTGATTTATGCGGATTGACTGACAGAATTCAGCCTGCACCGACCAAAGGACTAGACACGTGGTACTAGTTACTACCTAGTGCTAAACCAGTGAAATATAATGCTGTAATCATTTGCACTAACGGTGGAATATTTACTCCAGTGATATCTACTCCTAATATATACATATATATATATATATATATATCCTCCTATACTATGCATTACATACAAATGTTCATAATACTAACTAGGATGAACTTATGGTTGCTGAATTACAAAAGAAGTCACTGATCACACCAATCCTACTGGCATACATGAATGATACTGGGTAAATGTAAATTAAAAGTTTCTTTTTAAACTGATGTGGACAACTCTGTTTATTTCATATTTAATTTTCTCATCTTTCAAAGACACGTTTTAGGCACAGTCAGAAGCTGAAAATTTCTTCATGAAATGATAAAGTAAAAATTATCAATAGTATTATGTATTAATATGTCAAAAGTGACTATTTTTCCAAGTTTTGGTCTGTAGGGATTTGATTGGTTACATGATTTTATCATCAGCTGACATTAGATAGAAAACCAATAGAAAACCTCGGAGTACTGGACAGCTGTTTCTTTCGGGTGCGTACTGATGAAGAGTTCCAAACTAGAACGAAACAGCTGTCCAGTACTCCCAGGTTTTCCAATGGTTCTCTAACTAATGTCAGCTCATGATGAAATCATGAAAATTTTTTATTGAGTTTAATTTTGACTTTCCAGTTGATTGATTGCATTGAAGGATTCGACCTCTGTTGACACGTCAGCTCCTTGTGCTGGTGTCTCTGAGATCTTAACTTGAAATAATTTTTAAAAAATTTTTTATTCATTAACGTTCCCAGTGGAAAATAGGGCTTCAAGCTAGAGGCTTGAAGTTTTGGTGGCATTGGTGTTCATTTTTACGGGGTTGGGTTGCTAGCCTCATACCCAACCGTCCCTCTTTACCAATCTCATTGCTGGCAAAGCGAGGTTTCGGAGTGTGTCAGCCGAGGATTGAACTCCAGATCACATGTTGCTTGGTTGGCGAGCATTTCACCTCTGAGCCACCGACGCACGTATATACATATATGTATATATACGTAAGGACAAATCTTGTGTTTGACATAATTGTCTAGCCACGTTTGAGTCATGAAAGGTCGTGAAAGTTTATGCGGTTTTTCTTATTTCATTTTCGATAATGATTTTAATCTTGCTAAGATTTACACAAATACAATATTCATGAAAAATCCCTATTCGAACAATAATAGACAAAATACCAGTAATTCAGCTAAGAGTCTTTTTTCGGCAAATTTATTTTCATAGCTGTATTTTTATTATTTTATTGTTCCTTTGGGTTCCTATTGGAACATACGAATTCAACTGCATGTCTCCACTTCCTTTTATCTTCTGCTGTACTTTTCACAGGCATTCATGTTAGTCCACACTGTTTCAACTACTTTTCACACGATCTCCTCCATGTCACCATTGAACTGACGTCCCACTCGATAATTCCATTTCGAGTTCCACTACAGCACGCGCGATGCCAACCAGTGGTCTCCTCAGAGAGTTTCCGATCCATATCCACTTTCTCCTGCATATTTGTTGGTTGGTGATTCCTTCTTGTTTTGTTTGTTTCAAGCCATAGTTTCTTGTTGGTGATTCTTTCCGGTCCGACCCGGCCATCTGATCTTTAGTGTAGAGCCAACGAAGACAGTTGTTGGTTGATGAAGGTCTGCAATAGCCTGTTGGTTGGAAATATTCTTTGTGACCCATTCGCCAAGTTTCTCATCCGTATAGAAGAGAAGAGCTGACTGACTTGACATTTGTATTGAAAATCCAACTGAATTTTGTTGTTGATGCTAGCTGAGTGACGAAGATTTCCAGATTAGATTGGTTTCAGGTTGATGATGTTGATGTGTTTCTCGCTCGCCTTCCCGATTCTCGCTCGATTTGATATCCTCGTCCGTTCCGACTTCCTGTAGTTGAGCCAGTGTTCTCTAGATAATGAAGTGAATGAAGTAGCCTCTTTCAAATCCCTCGCGTTGATGGTGATTGGCGCTGGATGTTGCTGCTGTTGTTGTTTGTTATTTTCATAACCTTCGTCTCGTCTATGTTCACTTGGAGTCCTGTCTTCACTGTCTGCTTCTTCGACCAGTTTGTCGGTTTTCGCTTGTAAGTCTTCGATTTTGTGTGACATCAAACATAAATGATCCACGCGCGAAATCCAGGTCTTCTAGGTTCATCACGTCGGTCGGTCCAGAATATCTGTGTCTTCTCGTTTTCGTCTGACGCATAATCCAGTCCACCACAATTAGGAATATCACTGATGATAATAAACACCCTTGTCTGATTCCTGTGTTGACTCCAAACGCCTCGCTCAGTTTTCCGTTGTGCATCACTTGACTTGTGCCGTTGTCGTACAGCTGTTGAATAAGGTTGATGAATATTCGGAGCACTGTACACCATGGTACTCGAATAGTTTCCAAATTACTTCGCGGTCAACGCTGTCTGTCGAATGCCTTCTCAAATTCTATAAAGTTGAGGTAGAGGTTTGATTGCCATTCCATGCTTTGTTCTGTGGTGATGATGCGTAGAGTTGCAATTTGGTCAGTACATGATTTGCCTTTCCTGAATCCAGTTTGTTCTGTTCGGAGTTCTGCATCCAGTTTGCCTTTTTTCTCTCCAGGATGATGCGACTCAGGATTTTACTTGGCGTCGACAGGAGCATGATTCCTTGCTAGTTTTTGCAGAGTCCTAAGTCGCACTTCTTTGGAAATTTCACGAGGTAACCTTTCTTACAGTCAGTAGGCACCTTTCCCTCCTTCCAGACCTTTATGAATAATGGAGTCAGCATATTTGCTGTCACCTCTAGGTCCGCTTTCAGTGCTTCAGGGGGTATTCCATCTGGTCCAGCTGCTTTTCCAGCTTTCAGAAGCTTGATTGTGTTCAAGACTTCAGCTCTCATTGGAGGATCGGTGTCAACTTGCAGTTGTGTGCGCGCTGTTGTTGGTATTTCTGGACGGGTTGCAGGTGATGGTCGGTTCAAGAGTCCTTTGGAGTGATCCGCCCATTGTTTAATCTGTTTTTCTTCCTTGGTGATTGGGTTCCCTTGGCTGTCATTTATAGGTTTCGCTTGTGTTGGTCTCTTCCCGGATAGAGATTTGGTTATCTGATATAGTGTCCTCAGGTCCCTTTTGCCTGCTGCCTTCTCAGCTTCAGTGGCGAGGTTGTCGTAGAATCGTCTTTTGTCCTTCCTAGCACTCTTCTTCACTTCTTTGTCCAATGCTTTGTAAGTTGAGCTCATCGTCTCCTTCTCCTGTCCGTCCTTGCATTGAATCATTTTCTCTTTCACCATTCTCCTCTCTTCTATTAATTTCCAAGTGTCCGTTGAGAGCCATTCCTTGTCTTGTCTCTTATTTCTTCCTAACACCGTTGAACACGTTTCGTTGAGAATCGCCTTCAAAGAGTTCCAATGGTCTTCCACGCATGATTCTTCAGTGATGTCGCGTAGTGTTTCCTGCTTTGCTCTGACAGTTGCAGTGAAAGTGTCTTTTGTGGTTTTGTCCTTCAGTTTCTGAGTGTTGAACTTGCATTGTGGCTTATCTCCAGCTATCCTCAATGCTTTTAGTTTCACCTTGAAAGTCCCTTCTACTAGATAGTGGTCTGAATCCACATCTGCTCCTCTCCTTGACCTTGTGTCCAGTAGGCTCCGTCTCCACTTTCTTGAAATTGAGATGAAGTCTATTTGATTCTTGGTGTTTCCATCTGGTGAAATCCACGTCGTCTTGTGTATGGCCCTGTGTTTGAAAACGCTGCCACCAATCACCAAATCATTGAAGGCGCAGAAGTCTGAGAAGAGTTCACCATTGTCGTTCATTTCGCCGAGGGCCTCACGACCCGTGGTGAGTTCTCTTCCTGTGTTGTCTCCTCCTAGCTTCGCATTCATATCATCCATCAGGATTTTGATGTCGCCATTTGGGATGTTGTCCATTACTGTTTGTAGTTGTCTGTCTTCTCTTGTTCTGAGACGTTTGTAGGCGCACAGCACTGAATGACTGTAACTTTCCTTCCTTCCTGGAAGAGATTGGTTCCCACTGCATGAGAGCTTTGGTTGCTGTTGGTGACATCATGATGGCCACTCCCTCTGTGTGCTCGTGGTTGTTCTCTGGGTGGCCGCAATAGATTACTGTCTCTCCAGTTGGTAGTTGCCACCTTCCAGTTCCGTTCCATCTGCCCTCGCAGATTCCCAACATTTCTATTCTATATCTTCTCATTTCTGCTGCTACCTGGGCAGCCTTTCCAGTTTTTTTTTACATTGTACGAACATTCGACGTACCCATCCTTATTTTTAATTTCATCGAAAGAAGGCACATCGGCTGACTGGCTTCCTGAAGGCTTTCACCAGCCTGCGTCATTTCACTTCCCTGATTCCAGCGAAAAATAAGGTTACTGTTTATACTTTTTTAGAATTTTTAATATATCTGTGCATTGAAGTTTCTGTAGCGGTTTGGCTGAGTTTTCGGGGTGCAGTTGCTAACACCACGCTTCAACCCTCTTTTTTTATCCGGGCTTGGGACAGGCTAGAAACTAGCAAGCTAGTAGTCTAGGCGAGGTTTTCATAGCTGTACAATCGCAAATATATATGGTTGTTTTGTTTGTGTGTGTACATTAAATTCGCCAAACGAAAATTCAGTTAGTAAGTTTATATGATTTGAACGTTGATATAAGAGGGTAGTAACGAAAGTGATAAGTTGTCGCAATCGATTGTCAAAGAACAGTTACGTAATTACATGAATAGTTTGATGAAAGAGTTGTACTCAGGATTTACATGGAAACAAAATAGCCTGCAGAATCACTAAAGAGTTTTAAGTTGTTAGAAAATAAGCATACAAACAAAGGTTAAGTCAAATCAACAGAGTTGTTACCATGATAGTAGAAGTGGTTAAATAATTTTCTTTTGTATGCATAGTTCTGGCTCTTCTAATTGAATGGCTAGGCTTTCTGAAATGCAAAGAATACAATACTAACATAGGTTTACTGTTTATAAGCTGAGATTTTGTTTAGTTTAGTTTAATATTACTTAAATAAAGTTATCAGTATTAAATAGTGAAACGTCATTAATAACAACAGTATCATTATTTTAGTTCATTCATCGGGAAATACAAATGTTTTATAATAATCACTCTTAACTATTAATTATGTAGCTGCTTGTATTGTTATTATTCCCTTGCGTTCTGAGCGGAACATTCGGCTTCAACAACACATCTCCACTTCGTACGATTTTCTGTCATCTTCTTCAGGTGGGTCCACAATTGCCCATAATCTCACATCTCTTCCTCGACACACTATCTGCTTCATTTTACCCTAGGACGACCCACTCGTCGCTTCTCACTGGGATTCCAATCGAGCAATGACCTGTATTGTGCGTGATGCCGTCTGACGGTTTCTTCAGTGTCTGCTCGATCCATCTCTATATGATGTAGCCGTTTGTATCCTACACTAATTCATGTCTAGTCGAGCATTACTTTTTTTTCTTCAGGAGGCTTAAGCTGTAAATCATGGGAAGGAATTCAAACAGGTGCTTTTACTCCAAAATGAAGGTTAGATGATCAAAAAGAATAGGCAACAGCCACTTTGATAACGTACCAACCAAGAACCTATTATTTAAAGAATATACCCATGGAAACTGAAATGTATTGGGGATACTCTGAGAAGACAATTGAGTAATATCGCACGTCAAATGGACTGTTGATTGAAACCTGATTATAGGGGGCAATGAACTGGGCATCCGAGATTGACACACAGGAAATGGAAGCTCTTATCCTACTTAATAAATAATCCTTGAATCTTTTTATAGAAATATTACTTTCATTTGTTCTATTACTTATTCAAGTAGACTAGGCAAATTCAATGGTCTATTTGCAATACTTTTAGGTGGGCATTCTATAAATTCACATCATATTGAATATTCCCATAGTAAAATTTAGAACAACACATTTAAGCGAACAAAATTGTGCTTTCAATTATATCTCATCAGGCTTAACTCTAACATACCTACATAACTTTACAAATAAAACTTCAAATATAAACCAATCATGGTGTTTTGTTTATAGGAAAATACGACAGTGAATATAAATTGTGCAATTAGTCATAAAAGTAGTAATGATAGTAATAATAATAATAATGGTCTTATCAATAATAAGGATGAAAAAGTGAGGCAGTCTGTGATAACACGAATAATGAAAAACAGCATGATTAAACAAACAAATGTTCAGGTGGAAGTAGTCCATAAAGGCTAGTAAAAACAAATGAACCGATTAAGTAATGTTAGATTGTAAGGGAAGGAAATGAAACACGTTTATAATGAAGATGTGATAAGATTAAGGGATGATAAGAGAGGGGTTGAAAATATAATTAAGGGGTGGTGTAGGAGTCATCAGTTGGTTATGTCTTAATAGGCCAAGGGAGGGATAAAGGCTGTATGAACTTCTTCTGAATGCATAGTTTAGGTTTAATGGTTCGAATGTCTATCGCCTTAGCTGTGTGCAGTAGACGAATACGAAGTCTATTGGAAAGCTTCGGTGGGATAAGATGAATTACTTTGAAGGCCCTTGTTTTCTCCACTACATGACTATTTTCAATTAAATGTGACAAAATTGAACTGCGGATTGTTTTAGTCTGTTCTTTGCCAAACCACGATGGAAGATGTTCACTGACACGTTGGCTAAGCTGTCTAGTAGTGCACCCAACATAACTGTCACCGCAGGTGCAGTTGAATCGATAAATGCACATATATGTGGCAAACTATCAAGCTTATCCTTCATTTGTGTCCCAATCATTCGTCGGTTAGATAATGACAAACATAGGTGTGCTGCGTAAAATGTTCTACGTATACTCCTTGAAAATCTTTGGAATAAAATCTCACTTGATAAGTCACCATTAAATTGTAACTTAGTAAAGAGAGGTTTCTTACGTGCAGTCAGAGTCTCAGGTTTTTTCTCTTATGTTTCATATCTTTCTTTATGAAACTACTCGGATAGCCCATCTCCGTCAAGGAATCGTGAATATATTCAAATTCCACATTAGCTAATTTTTAGGGTAGTGGCAGCCTGCTTATAACTTAGGCTACGAAAACTTGCTTTTTTTCTATTGCATACATTTTCTCTCATTCTGCTTGTGCTAATTGAAGAAGGTATGACCTCTGATGATAATATCTATTTTTCTGTTTGTTTGAAATGTCTACAAGCTCCTGATTCGCAGGTTTGCCCTAAACTTCAAAAAGGCGTAATTGTGAGTGGCAACGTGTTCCAATACATGACATAACTGTTATACAGTTATGTCCTCTGGTCTGAAAATGTACTTATGAACATCTTACAATCGACTTTCAACTATATATCGTGGATTTCTTGAAGGAGAAAGAGCAGATATATTATGTAATAGAATGGTTTGTGTTTCAGCTCAGAGACCATTGTGTCACAGGAAGGATATACTGTCAATTAATATGCAACTTGAAGATATTGCATGAAAGGAAAATATCCAGCGATTAACTCCTCTGAAAATTCCATTCATTTTAAAAATGCCGTCCAGAACAAAGATACTGTTATGTATGTATGTTTGTTTGTTTTTTATGTTATGTGTGCTTTTTACATGATTGTATTCTCCGCATTTATTATACTAAGTCTGAAAGGTATTTATTTGCTTATTAGATTTTGTATTTACTTTAAACATTTCTAGTTGGTACAACGTCAATTTTAGAGTGGCTGAAAAGTGGGAATACGGTAAAAACTTAGGATGTACGTTTGCCACACGAAGCTGTTACGAATACATGCTCACCCAAAAATCGAGGTTAGTATAGTCTTGTTCATAATTAGAGATAAATAACTTATCGTGCCGTAAATACTTGTACAATCCATTCAATAGCTATTTGTTGATACCATGTGGGAAATGGTTTACAGTGAAAATCAGTAAGAAGAAGCTGCCTAGAGTAATCAATGATCTTCCTGACTGTGATTGACAGGATCATGCGACTGTGGGAAGTAGTGACATGAGTATAGCTTGGACTGAAAAATTACACTGGAACATTGATATATTTCAGGTTATTGATTTGTATATGGGGAAACCGAACAGATTGACATAAAAAAGCGAAGTTTTGACTTTTGGTGAACATCAAAAAGAGACTGAAATCGCTGTGAACACCTACAGCACTTTGTACAAGGGACAGGATTCAAATATGTACCAATAATTTGAAATCAATAAGTGCTTTTTTATAGCTGATAGCCGTGCGTTACCAGAAATATGTCCAAAAGCCTGCAGCATACTTTTTCAACAGATACATTTTTCAAAGTCAGATGGTTCAGCTGAGATGGATAGGTAACGAAAGACTTTGGTAGCCAACCAGTAAAGAACCTGTTGCCTAACAAATATACATGAAGTAATGCGAACGGACTGGTTATATACTGAGAGACTCTTGAGTTATATCGTGGGCTTTTTTTTAAAGTAGCTTTTGAATAGGTATGGAGCGTCGAGATGAACGTTCGAAGTCGACACGGAACGGATCATGTGGATAGCAAATGAAAGTTTTTGGGCAGTCATCATGCCGGTCAGAAACAATGGCAGAAAACAGAAGGAAGTTGTGACGTTCTGCTACAGCTTTAGGTTGCGCTTGATAAACAATTAACGAACAACAGAACATTAAACCTGCCGTTTCACCACGAAATTTGTGTTTTTCAACATATACAAAAGATGTCTGAAATATCTACTGAAATATAGTTAACTTAATTTGAAAACCATATATCAATTTTGTCTATTATAAATCTAACGTTGTGATATGCCAGGACGAACAGTTAGACAGCTAGACAAACGTATTAATGGACACCTTCCTTCATAGTTCGGGTAAGGCCAAGCAAAATCTATGAGAAGTTCTATTTTCCCTCATTTGATTGATAAGGGTCACCAAGTGGACAGAAATAGTGTCTTGAAAGTTATCGATCGTATTCCATCGAGCCTTTCGAACAGAGTTCGAACCCGCCTTCTACACATAGCTGAAGCTATGGGAATCAGTTTGAGAGAACAATCCTAGTCTTTGCATACAATAAAAGAAGTTTGTTCTCTCTTTGTCTTTCTCTTGTTCTAGGTGAATTCTAATCGAAATCCTCCTACCCTTTCCTGTTTCCCGTTTCCTTCGTACTTTTAGGATATGTACTATTTAAAGTCTGAATATCTATCCACTTCACTTTTAATATTATGTAACTTTTAAGATTTGACCCAAATTATATATCGAATTGTCTACACCACCATTGTTATTCTTATCGCCACCTGCATAAACCGTATTATCACTATTTTGCTATCATTATAATTATCGTTAATATATATATATATACTTTTTATCTCTAATTCTGTTTCATTTGTTATTAATTTCAGAGGACAAAGTTATTATCCTTACTGTGACAGACCATCAAGTGTAAGTTGCAGAAGTGAGACTTCATATGGAATGTGCAGTATACAAAAGTATGCTCAAGCACTACCCATTGAAAATCAGTATTTTACAAATCCGAGGACATTTAATGACCCGCAAGTTGGTAATTATGGTGGAGGTGCGAACTTCATGGATTATTGTCCAATGTTGACGGTTAGTTTATTTTTTGAAACTGCTCTTTTTGTTTTTGCAACATAACAGAACACTGCAAATACGGTTTCAATAAAACATCTCGATTTCATTGCTTTTCCTGCAATCGTCTTTACCTGGCTGCACGATTTCCCGTACTCTCTAATCTCCTTTTCGAACAAACTCCTCTGAGTCACCTTTGCACAACTAACTCATCGCTTGCATTGCATATGAATTCCAATCGAGGGTCTGCGTGGCGCATAACGCCATTCAACGTTCTCCTCAAAATGTGTCTACTCCAACTCGATATTTTGGCATGTATTTTAGGCACTAGGTTCTTGGATGGTTGGTCACCAGAGTTCTAGAGTGCTTTTCCTTTCGGGCCATCTGATCTTCAGTATGGAGCTGGCGAACATAGCTGTTGATAAATGTCTATAGTAGACTGTCAGAAATGTTTTCTGTGACGTGCAGTGCAAGTTTCTGAACGATGTAGAATCACTTATTCAAAATTATGGTTGAGAATCTGAATCTTGTCGTTTATGTTGATTTCAATTGATTTCCACACCAACTTCAGGGTAACGAATTTCTGTCTTGCTTTTCCAAGTGATATCCTGATCCATGCTGTCGTCCGTAATTGAAGCAAAGTGACTGCGTTTAAATGTATTCCGCGTATAGTGATTTCAGGCCAAAGTCGCCAATAGTAACTCCTATAATTTTAATTATCTAAATCCCTGCTGAAGCCTCTAATGTAGGGACTTTGTTTGATTGGTTGGAAAATTTCATCATGAGCTGACATCGGTTAGACAACCAGAACTCCCAGGTTTTACAATGGTTCTCTAACTTATGTCAGCTCCTTATGAAATCCTCCAGTCAATCAAATATTACTTCTGTAGTTTATGTCGTTCACATAAGCTCCTTCAATCAACAAAAAGGAGATATTAACATATTATATATTTTCCTATTTCATAGATAATGGATTCGTTTGAAAATCTACCAGTAATATCTGATTGTAGAAACGGACAAAACACAGTGACAATGGGTGAGATTGAGGTTTTCTGGCATGAAATATGCTTCTCGAAATGATTTCATACATTTTTAATGGAATAATTACGTACGATTGATCATCGGATGTCATGACATCTAACTTTTTTTCAATCAGACTTCCGCGAACTAAGCGTTTGGAGAACAAAGTATTTTTATGGAGATGGACTTTGGGAAAGGCGTTTAAATTTGTCTTTCTAGACATTTTAAATTTAAAGAGAAAACTGAACAGTACTCGTGCGTTTCATGGATATTTGGCCAGTTTCTGATAGGCAGTTTAGAAGTAGATATATGCAACAAATCAGCATTGATTACAAGAACACCATGACCAACTCGACGTAATTTTGCGCTGCAGCATCTGAGTTTATTAGTAATATATGTAGCCGCACAGCATGAGACTAATAAAAATATTCAAGCGTTGGTTTGTAGGGAATTGACTGGTTGGTTACAGGATTTCATCATGAGCTGACATTAGTCACAGAACCATTGGAAAACCTGGAGTAATGGAAAGCTGTTTCGTCCCACTTTGGGACTCTTCACCAGTACGCACTCACTACAAAGAGCTCGAACCCAGGGCCTTCCGGTTACAAGGCGAGCTCGTACACCATTAAGTCACTGGGACCCGATCCAATGGCTCATGAATTCTAACTTCTGTCAATTCACGATATAGCTTGACATCTAACTAATGTCTTCGTCGAGTATTTGTCCTCATACCTGACTGACTGCACCCTACTGGTCATGAATTCCCACCAGAACGCCAGATAACTACCTACCTGAATAGGGCAAAACGCCAGTGAGCATCTCATTGATATACAAGTGTTGGTTTGTAGGGATTTGATTAATCAGATCGGGTCCCATCGGCCCAAAGGGCTACGAGTTTGCCTTGTAAACTGAAGGCCCTGAGTTCGAATCCCGGTGAGTGCGTACTGATGAAGAGTCCCAAACTAGGCTGACGAAACAGTTTTCCAGTATACCCAGGTGGTTTTCCAATGGTTCTCTGACCAATGTCAGCTCATGATGAAATCCTGTAACTAATAAAAATATACTTAACCAACTTGAATTCTGAAGGTATTTAGATATTCAAAGAACAAACATTTTTGAACCTGGATTGCGTATAAATGATTAAATTTTCAACTTACTCCCGTAAAAGTTTCTCTTTCATACTTTAGGGTTGAGTTAGTTGAACTCTAGTATCTGGTATATTTCTTGACGTGGGTTTCGTTGATATCTTAAATTGGATGTGGAACTGCTATTGATTGGATCACAGATTTTAGTGGTTGATCACTAAAGGTTAATTTATTAGAAAGTCCACCTTAATATGGGTCAACTGTGTACATATCCAACATCCAATTATTGGTTAATAGATAAGATATGGCTTGATTCAAACTAGATTTCCTGAAGTTATAATGAAGATCCATGACCTGTTGGATCCATCAAACAGAGTTTGAAACGGATATTCACCATTTACACTGGGTAACGGTGGCGTATCCATGCTAAAATTCAACGACATATATGTACATAATTTATTTCCAAATCTATTTAATTCACTACTGATTTCAGACAATAAAGTTACTTTTCAGTAATTAGTTTGTAAGGAGTTGATTGGCTTCATGTTTGATCACAGATAAATGTCATTTGGATAACCACTGGAGACTTCATCACGGTTCCAAGGCTCTTCACCAGTACGTGCTCCACTACCCTCCGAGGATTAAACCCAGGACCTATGGGTTACAAGGCAAACCCCACTGACCATTAAATCACTTTCACCAGAACCCAATAGCCCATGAATTCTGACTTCTGTCGATTCCCAATATCAGAGCGACCGACAGCTAATGTCATCGGCAAGTATTTGTCCTGGCATCCAAATGGGTAGACTCCACAGGTCACGACTTCTAAGCGTTGGTTTCTGGCTAATGACCGGCTACAGGACGAAGTGACCTGGAATTCTAGTGAGAAGTCTTAGCCAGTCAGGTAGAACAGGCCGGATGTAGGGGCAATACTCGCTGACGACACTGGCTACCACTTTGACTGAAATCCCGAATAGACAGAAGTAGCATTTAATGCGTCATTGGTTTCCGTCTCAAATGGCTGCAGTGTCAATGAACTTGGCCTCGTAGTCTGAGAGTTCCAAATTTGATCCCCTGTGTAGCCATGGGTGTGTACTGCTCGAAGGTCCCAAACTAGGATGAAGCAGCTGTTGAGTACAGTCTGGTTTCCAGTGGTTCTCTAACTGACACCAAACCATGATCAAACCTGAGATGCAGTTATTATTAATATGTAATACTGTCTAGTCATAAAGAGAAATTGTCATCAGATGACGGCTGGAAAGATTTGTAGAAATGAATATGGTAATAATTGAGAGTTGTCTTTATGTTAAAGGAGTCATTTTGCTAGAAATCAAAAATTAATCTTATTAGAGCCAAATTCTGTTTCTTTTCTATTATCTAACACATCCAAGAAGAAACTTTCACATCTTATCATTGGAATAACGTAGATAAACGCAGCATTCCGAGGTAATATATTCCTCTTATAGTGTAGGTTAGAAGGAGTTGTAACCACGTTACCTGCACAGTTTCACGTAAAGAAGGTGAATGGCTTAAAACCCATGTATACAGGCATACCTAAGAGGCACTGATTGTATTATTCTAACCGAATCATATGTTACATTTATTTCCAGGTAAGGGAATGAATGTTTACATGCAATCATATGGTGCCCAGTCAATATGCATTGAGCATTCTGGACATATGACTTACCATACATATTTTATGAGTCATAATCTGGGTGAAAGTGTTTCTGGCTCCTGCCACTCAGTAAGTTGTTTAATGTAATGAGAACATTAGTTTATTCATAATACCTTTTGTCGTTTGTCTACAGACGAGTGTTACAAATGCCATTAAAACTGCCAATCTGAAATGATTCAAGGAATATCCTGTCTTCAGGATGTATGGAGTATACTCATTGGTACATGAACGTCTAATCTAAGACAACCTAAGAAATATATCATGAGGTTTACCATGGAATATTTTTGTTTAATAAAACCAAGATACGATATTTTGCCTACAACTGACAGACCCATTTCAAAACAAGCACATTTCTCGGAAGTTTACTTTTTGTAATGTTGGAATTTTCGTACCAAATCCCATTGAACAAGAATTAACAAAACGTTTAAAGGTGTTTTTTCCATTCATTGAGTTTTGAGTGCAGTTTAGGGCTATGAAGCGTAGTTTGTAAGTCCAACCTGTCCTATTTGCAGTTAGTAAACTAGACAAAATATTGGAATGCGTCGCCGAAGAACCGAATCTGAACGTTCTGCTTGGCTAGCAAAGAATCCCTTCTGTGAAATGCTAACACAAAAAGCGCCTATTTAATATTTGCCCGACTGTTTATACAGAAAGCATACGTTGTATTCAGCTAATCTGCATCAAACTGATCGCGAATACCCACAAATATTGCAGGTGTAATCACATAATCACTGACTGGAATATTCCTAGGATATTTCTGGTATTCGTAATTTGTTTAATGGTGACTAACAAATGAATCTAGTATGGGCATTTCGTCCTATTTGAGACTCATCACATGGACGTACCTGCATTCCCCAGTGAGTGATAGCGTCCCCAATGAGACTGGAACTCAGTACCCATTAATCACCAGAAATGTCCAAACTGGATTAAACAATAACGCATACCCATTGCAAAACAAGTGCTTCTTGTGGCCGAAGTAGTCTGGTGGATAACACTTTATTGTCTGAAAATATGCATATTAGTTTCGAACGTCAGTAGGAACACAATCACTCAATGGAGAATACAGGTGCATGCTACTGGCTGACGGGTCTCAAATAGAACGAAATGAGCATCTTGAATTCCACTGCTAGTCACTGTTTACCAGATTACTTTGGGTTTAATCCCGAGACATCTTCCAAGCATCCACACAAGGAGTCGGCATCTCAACAGTGACCCAGCACATCGATCCAGTCAGTCAATACGGCGGTTGTACAGTGGTTGGGACTCTCGCCGACCATGCGCATGGTCCGGGGTTTGATCCCCTGCCGAGGCACATCTGATATCTATGGTCGGCTTGCAAAATTCGGGCTACCGATATCACATGCTGAAAATTCCATACCTGTAACAAAAATATGGTATGGAATCACGCTGAAATCAAAAAAAGAAAGTCCAAATGAAATTAAATATTTCTGCTAGTCTTTTTCAATTTGTATTTAATTTTATTCACTTACTATTTGAAAGGTTACAGAAAATTTCGTCAGTGAAACACAACGAACCATAGAAACACTGTTTTCAGCAATGTAACTCACAACAAATATTTGTGAAAGATGTAATTCGTAATTTCAACTTGAATTAGTAATTGCATATTCAGGAAAACTTTGTTGATTCCATGCCACATAAACGGAGACACCGTTTTGTACGCATAGATATACTTCTCAAAATGACATTTCATTGTAAGAGAAAATCCACGCGCTTATGTCCATCCCGTTTTTTCAAAATATAGATTCTTTTGCGATAAACTTAAAAAATTGTTTAGTGCAGCTCATTTAAACTCTTTTTTACTTTACAGTATCACTGCTTAGGCAATAACAGTATATCTATTGACTTTGCTGGACAAACGGTGGTTTGTTCAAACGGTGAAGTTGTCAAACAAATAGATATTACTAGACAGTCAAGTCGTTTAACTGGAACGATCAAATGTCCTCTTGTGCAACTTTTATGCCCTACAAATTGATTTATCAGTAAGCTGAAGATATTTCTTTATTTTAAATTTCTTTGTGACTATAGATATTTTTTTATTTTTTATTTTTGATTACAGCTTGATTCCACACTGTACGTTTGGTACAAGTATGGAATTTTCAGCATGTCATATCGGTAGCCCAAATTTTGCAGGCCGACCATAGATATCAGATGTGCGTCGGCAGGGGTCGAAACTCATACCATGTGCATGGTCGGCGAGAGTCCTAACCACTGTGCCACCGACGCTAGAAATGCCTACGAGACAGTGCGATAGTTATTCACATACGCATATAAATTACAATACACACCGTAATTCACAGTTCAATGGTCCCTTGATGAAAATATATATTAATAGGATATAACAGAGCTATCATAACCTTACGAGTTTGGAAGGCAATCAATTGCTTGTGTACAAATGCTTGGTAGCAGTGACAGGTTTTGAACCTATATCTTGTGTTGCTTTGCACCTGGAATGAAAAGTATATGTTCAACGGTAAAGGTACTTTCGGTGGTAACTTTGTACGAATATTAATGACATAACGATCTCACCTTTAACTAATCCAGGTTCATCGATTCTGCAAGATCATTTGTGACACACTACTTTCAATGAGCAGTAACACATGAATGCTACCAATATAGCTGAAGAGTTACACCAGAGTTTCTAAGGAAGTTTTAAGTAGCCTTAAGAAGCAAAGAAGTCGCCTATTTATTTGCTGCTACCAAAGCAGATCCCAGTTTACTCATTTTTATATTTCGTTTTGAATATCCCTTTGAACAAGACCTTTCCCAGCCGGTTTGTTCAGTTATTTAATCTTTGTTTAAGTGTTTATCAACCCAGTGAAGACTACTAATATCACTGCTGCCATCAGATTAATCCGCAGTTTGCAATTTGGACAGTTGGAGGTGAAATTCCACCGAATTTTCTCTTGGAAAGAAATAGAAATCAAGAAAGTTAGTAAAGTTGTATGGCATTATGTACTACTGATCAAACGAAATCAGTAGTTGAGCACTGCGCAAATCAACCAGTTGTGTTTGGTGTCCATATCGAACTGATCGTCACATCGGAGAGCAGTTTCTCTCCTGTTTGTAGCAATTCAGTTTCCTTAGCAAGGACTGTTAGTTGTTGTTGTAACAACCGAAGACAAGGGCCGGCAACAGATCCTTTTATTACGGAAATCAGCACGTATTTATATATATTTCATGTAATTATTATAGCGTATTCAAGCAGACAAACACAGTCTTCTGATTGGTTGTTTCTGGTTTCTCGGAAAGTTAAGCCATATGCCTGCCAATCTTATTTGCCCACGTTAAGTCTGCTGTGATTGGTTTTTGAATCAGTCTTGTTCATATTTTCTCACGGCCAATATTAGTGACCCAGACATTGACGTAAATTAATGTCTACCAATTGGCTAGCAACCTGCTCTCACCACATTGTGAGTGGTGTCCGACTACTTGTACCAGTCAATCAGTAGTATATAGCTTCATACATCATCATTACTACACTTTGAAATGTTATACCACCAATATCCATTCCCATTTCTACGATCTCTTATTAAGTCAAATAATTTCTCTAGAAACGTAATCAACCAATCAAAACTATGGAAAGAAGACAATCATCATTCAAAGACTTTTGAAAAGTCTTCCCCCCCCCTCATTTTTCAGTTTAACTTTACTCCATATGTTCGAGAAACATACATTTGTATCATGTAAACAGTTTCGTTAAGAGCATAAAAGGCATTCGCAACACGCATCACTCATCTCGACACTGTGGGATCTTGAACAGACTGCATTTGCTACAAACCTACATAGTAAGTATTATTACTATGTATCCTCACTGGCAACTGGCACTATTCAGGTAGTTACCTGGAGTTCCAGTGAGAATTGGTGATCGGTAGGGTGCAGCAGGTCGAGTGTGAGGACAAATACTCGACGAAGACATTGGTTAGCGGTTGCGCTATATAGTGAATTGGCAGAAGTTAGAATTCATGAGCCATTGGATCGGGTCCCAGTGACTTAATGGTTTACGAGCTCGCCTTGTAACCAGACGTTCCTGGGTTCGAATCCTGGTGATTGCGTACTGATGAAGAGTCCCAAACTAGGCTGACAAAACAGCTGTCCAGTACTCATAGGTTTTCCAATGGTTCTCTAACTGATGTCAGCTCATGATGAAATCCTGTACCCAATCCACCAAATCCCTACAAACCAATACTTGAATATTATTATTCCCTTAGGTGTCGTGTGAAACATAGGGCTTCAACACTAGATTTTCATTTCATCCTGTTTTGTACAGTCTTGATTACCTGGCTCCAGGATTATTTGTAGGCTCTCACCTCCTCGTTACACCATCTCCTGTATATCATCGTAGTACGACCAGGTCGTCGCTTACTTTGCATTCGGCTTCAACTTGAGGACCTGCTTGACGTGTACTGTTATTCAACAGCCTCATCAGTGAATTTCCATTCCATCCCAATATTCTTCGGATTATTTATTAAGTGACTGGTTCATCGTCGGCTGATTGCTTGGTTCACATAATTTCTTGTTGCTCATCCTTTCTGGCTATCTGATCTATAGGGTGTAACCACCAAAGTCAGCTGTTGACACGAGTTTGAAGATGGTTAGAAATGCAGATGGTGATGCTCAGTGCAGGTCTCTGAACCATCTGGAAGAACTGATTGACTGACTTGAAATTAATGTTTCAAATCCCGATTCTTTTCGCTATGCTGAGTGCAGTAGATTTATGAATGGATTTCAGCTTAGTTACAGTGATAATTAATATTATAATGTTATTATTCATAACCATTGTATTTTCAAGTAGTTTGCAGCTGATGAGAACCTAAGAAATAGAATGATGATATCATTTTATACTGCAAATCTGGTCTTTCTTTCTCTTTCGAAATTTATAAGGGAACCAAATGTATGAAATACTACTTCAGTTTATAGGTGTCAGTTATGGAGCGAATTTAGTGAGGGGGATAATATTCACTCCTATTGACGATAAACACGATATTTCTTAACAATGCCGATGAAAAGAGCTCCAAAAGCGATGTTTACAATTCGCATACATATCGACTCACCATGAATAATTTCAGTGTATCAAAATATTTTATATTTCATCCAATAGTCAAATAATCGTATCACATTTTTTTCTCTTTAATACAATAGTATTCAGTGAATGGTACAGAAGACAAAGAATTTCTTTCGGAAAACAATTATTTGTACAATATGATTCCATGTATCTTTATGTTTCGATTTCCAAAATAAAAATTATTCGAGCTCATTTTGCTAGTTTTCCCCTTACTTACAGTTGGTTAATTTAACATGCACGTTAATGAATATAAGCGGAAGTACTTGTGCGAATTAAGATTTCCGATGTCATAATACTCGTGCGTCGGTGGCACAGCGGTAAGGATGCTCGCCAACCACGCACATGATCCGGGGTTCGATCTCCGGCCACCGACGCACTCCTTTACCTCGCTAATCCAGAAATTACGCTAGTAAAGAGGAAAGGTTGGGCATGAGGCTAGCAACCCCATCTTGTAAAATAAACACTGCTACAGAAACTTCAAGCCACTAGCTTGAAGCCCTATGTTCCATGAAGGAAATAAAATTTTAAAAAATGTTATAATATTCACAAAACAACTGATTTTAAAATTTAGAACAATACATTTAAGCGAACAATATTGTTCTCGATTAGATCTCATCAGACTTAACTCTAATATACCTACATAACTTTACAAATAAAAATTCAAATATAAACCAATCATGGTGTTTTGTCTATAGGATAATAAGATGGTTAATATAAATTGTGCAATTAGTCATAATTGTAGTAATGACGGTAATAACAATAATGGTTCTATCAATAATAAGGATAAAAAGGTGAGGTAATCTGTGATATCACGAATAACGAAAAGCAGCTACTGCATCATTATAGCCCACCGAATCTTTCCAATAGACTTCGTATTCGTCTACTGCACACAGCTAAGGCGATAGACATTCGAACTATTAAACCTAAACTATGCATTCAGAAGAAGTTCATACAGCCTTTATCCCCCCTTGGCCTATTAAGACATAACCAACTGATGACTTCTACACCACCCCTTAATTATATTTTCAACCCCTCTCTTATCATCCCTTAATCTTATCACATCTTCATTATAAACGTGTTTCATTTCCTTCCCTTACAATCTAACATTACTTAATCGGTTCATTTGTTTTTACTAGCCTTTATGGACTACTTCCACCTGAACATTTGTTTGTTTAATCATGCTGTTTTTCATTATTCGTGTTATCACAGACTGCCTCACTTTTTCATCCTTATTATTGATAAGACCATTATTATTATTATTATTACTATCATTACTACTTTTATGACTAATTGCACAATTTATATTCACTGTCGTATTTTCCTATAAACAAAACACCATGATTGGTTTATATTTGAAGTTTTATTTGTAAAGTTATGTAGGTATGTTAGAGTTAAGCCTGATGAGATATAATTGAAAGTACAATTTTGTTCGCTTAAATGTGTGTTGTTCTAAATTTTACTATGGGAATATTTAGTATTTCAAAAATTAGGTTTTACTTTAAATTCCGACTGAGTAATGTTCGTCGTCACTTTTTATTTTGCGAGAAATAACACTGAGGTTATAGTGGTAAAATTTGCATAACCCCTTAAGCAATTGCTTTTTACCGATAGCGTCTAATAAGCAGAAGGTAGGTGGTCTCTGTACTATGAATAAATATATCGTGAACAAGGTTCATAGATTTCTATTTTCAAGAGATGATAAAAGGAGACATTTTCACTATTGACTGATTACGTTCGTAGTGGAAAAAGTGCCTTCCTCAGTATAACTTTATTTCCATCAGTCCACCACCATCACTTTTTAACTGTTTCCAGAACCTTCGACGGCATCCATCTCTTCTTCAAAGGGTGTTCTGCATGTATGAACAAATTCTGCTTCGCAGAAGCCATGAACTATATTATTCAGTAATCACTTAAGTTTCTAGAGGACAACTAATTCAGTTTTTCCAAGGAACAGGTTAGTAATTGCTTCTTGAATTTTCGCCTTTATACCACTTACCATGCGTTTGTCTTGTAACCGGAAATTTCTGGGTTATAAACCCAGTGAGTAAGTTATGACGGTAAGTCCCGAACTATGGCGAAACATCTGTGGAGTACTCCCTACCGGCATTCAATGGTTCGCTAACTGATATCAATCCGTGATAAAATATGAAACAAATCGAATTCCTACTAAATAACTCTAAAAAATAATCTCATGCTTGCAAATGACTGGCTGTTGCACCAGTGTGGACTACTAGGTCAAAACAGATGAAAATTACTCGCCAGCGATGAAATTGGCCGTTCCCAGTTGGTAGACGTTAGAATTCATGGACTGCCCATTGGGTCCGGTTCTATTGGCTGGTAAATCTACGAGCTCACCATGTAACTAGAGGGTCCTGAAATGGACTTCGACTGATGCGTATTGACGGTAACTCCCAAACTGGGATGAAACAGCTGTTTAGTATTTCAATGCCACTCTAACTGATACCAATCCATTGTCAAACCTGATACTTACCAATTAGCATAAACTTTTATCTATGGGAGAATTAACACTTGGCTTTAATACAAGAGAGTAGAGGAAGAGATTCGTAGCTGAAGCTATATTCAACCAAAGACACGTGTAATAGGAATGGATCAACACCTTTCCAAGACATCTGGCAAATTCTAGCAACAATACTTAAAATAAATAGTTAAGGAGGATGAAAACTTTAAAAACCAATTTCCGAACCTGTGTAACTACAACTGATATTGTGTCGAGTACTACCGATAAGATTTACAAGTAGTATATACAGAGATGTTCATCAGAATAAAAACACTAAAAAGTGGGCAGAAACATTCGACTGCATAGAAGGTAAATGCTACAGCGTGTGGGGACACATGGAAGATATCAAAGAAATACAATATGAAGTCCAGAAGTACCAAAAATTTGTGGGTTGAAGATAAGATATCCATCATTCGCCCACATAGAGATAACAATTTCCAAATAGACATTCCTCTACAAAGCCTTCGTCTTCTACCGTTTCACTATGATTTTGAACAATAAACTGAATTTGAAATTTCGTCATTCAAGGAATAATATTTTTTAATTTTGATTTAAGGGATAATTATAGGTTTCTGCAACTGTTGCAGTTCTGGTTATATATCCAGGTGGTTTTTAATCCGTTATTTAATACCCTTATATATTGATAAGCGAAAAAAAAATGCTTTCTAACTAACTCTGCAAGAACTGGCGAGGAATCCTGCTCCTATGGACGCTAAGTAAAATTCTGAGTCGCATCATCCTGGAGAGAATACAGGATGCACTGGATACAGAGTTCCGACCAGAACAAGCTAAATTCAGGAAAGGCAAATCATCTTCTCACCAAATTGCAACTCTACGCATCATCATCACAGAACAAAGCATGGAATGGCAATCAAACCCTCTACCTCAACTTTATAGAATTTGAGAAGGCATTCGACAGACAGCGTAGACCGCGAAGTAATTTGGAAACTATTCGAGTACCATGGTGTACAGTGCTCCAAATATTCATCAACCTTATTCAACAGCTGTACGACAACGACACAAGTCAAGTGATCCACAACGGAAAACTCAGTGAGGCGTTTGAAGTAAACACAGGAATCAGACAAGGGTGTTTATTATCACCAATGATGTTCCAAATTGTGGCGGACTGGATTATGCGTCAGACGAAAACGAGAAGACACAGATATTCTGGACCGACCGACGTGATGAACCTAGAAGACCTGGATTTCGCGCGTGGATCATTTATGTTTCATGTCACACAAAATCGAAGACTTACAAGCGAAAACCGACCGACAAACTGGTCGAAGACGCAGACAGTGAAGACAGGACTCCAAGTGAACATAGACAAGACGAAGGTTATGAAAATAACCAACAACAACAGCAGCAACATCCAGCGCCAATCACCATCAACGAAAGGGATTTAAAAGAGGTCACTTTATTCACTCACTTATCTAGCATTGAGCAGTGTCTCAACTACAGGAAGTCGGAACCGACGAGAATATCAAATTGAGCGAGAATCAGGAAGGCGAGCGAGAAACACATCAACATCATCAACCTGAAACCAATCTAATCTGGAAATCTTCTCCACTCAGCCACCACCAACAACAAAATCCAGCCGGATTTTCAATACAAACAACGTCAAGTCAGTCAGCTCTTCTCTTCTATACGGATCAGAAACTTGGCGAATGGGTCACAAAGAATATTTCCAACCAACAGGCTATTGCAGACCTTCATCAACCAACAACTGTCTTCGTTGGCTCTACACTGAAGATCAGATGGGGCCGGACCGGAAAGAATCACCAACAAGAAACTATGGCTTGAAACAAACAAAACAAGAAGGAATCGCCAAACAACAAATATGCAGGAGAAAGTGGAGATGGATGGATTGGACACTCACTGAGGAGGAGGCCGCTGGGTGTCATCACGCGAGCGTCAGGCTGTTGCTCGAGTGGAACCAGGCCGACAGAAAGGGAAGCGGCGAGTGGAACGTCAGTGCAACGGTGACATGGAGGAGATGGTGTGAAGAGATGAGTTGAAACAGTGGGGACTGACTAACATGAATGCAGGTGAAGAGTACAGCAGCAGAAGACAGAAGCAAGTGGAGACGTTCAGTTGAAGCCCTATGTTCCACTAGGAGCCCAAAGGAACAATAATAATTAACTGAAGATCTCCTTTTTATACCACCAGACACCATTCGAAAGGAAATCCATTATATACGTGCTTTAACAATACTAGTGTTAATGAAAATTCATACTGAAATAGTAGCGAATATTTATAGCTCAGATGAATGATTTGCATTTATTTATGTCCTCTAAGCTGGTTGGTTTAACTGCCGAGCCATAACACCAAAAAGAAACCATCATCAAATACTACAAGAAAATTCATCCTACCGTATATGAAAAATATCTCTGAAATAACAGCTAGAATATTAAATCCGTTTGAAAGAGAGATAAATATAACACACATGGCAGTCAGCACAATCACTTTAGTCGATGTTGTACAAATCGAAAGATCAACAGAAAAAAGAAGATAAAATTAATACCGTTCAAAAGATGTTAATATAGACCCAGTTCACCAATTAATAAAAAGTAAATCAAGTGACAAGAAAGTTCAAAATCCAAGTCAGCTGAAAATGACC